ACTCCTCTTCACACGATCTCCTCCATGTCACCCTTGGACGTCCCACACGCCGCTTCCCTTTCGGGTTCCACTCGAGGGCTTGGCGCGCGATGTCACCCAGCGGTCTCCTCAGCGAGTGTCCGATCCATCTCCACTTTCTCCTGCATATTTGTTGGGCGATTGGTTCTTGCTTTGTTTGTTCCCATAATTCCTTGTTGGTGATTCTTTCCGGCCCGGCCATCTGATCTTTAGTATAGATCCAGCGAAGACAGTTGTTAATAAAAGTCTGCAACATTTTGAAAATATTCTTTGTGACCCGCCCGCCAAGTTTCTGATACGTAAAGAAGAATTGACTTTACGTTTGTATTGAAAATGCGTATTTTGTTGCTAATGCCGAGTGACGAAGGTTTCCAGATTGATTTCAGGCTGATGAATGTGTTTCTCGCCTTCCCAATTCTCGATTTGACATCCTCGTCCCTTCCGACTGCCTGTAGTTGAGACAATCCTCCCAAGATGAGTGAGTGAATGAAGTTACCTCTTTCAAATCCCTCCCGTTGATGGCGATTGGCGCAGGATGTTGCTGCTGTTGTTGTTGTTGGTTGGTTATTTTCATAACCTCCATCTTGTCAATGTTCCCTTGGAGTACTATCTTTGCTGTTTGTCGGTTTTCGCTTGCCTCTAAGTCTTCCATTTTATGTGACATCCAACATAAATCATCCACGCGCGAAATCCAGGACTTCTAGGTACTTCACGTCGGTCCAAAATATTCATGTCATCTCGTTTCCCTGTCACAGTCTGTCAGTCAGGTCGCGTAAACCGTTAATGCCCAGTTCTTGCTACGCTCGGCCCCACGCTGTTCCTTGAAGTTTTTCAGAAACGCTTAGTAATAACGGAAGAAAAACCCAAAACACCAATTGTTGACTCGAGGATTCTTTGTTGTAACACCAACATATAGAAAATATTTCTACTAAGGTCTGTGAACAAATATTACAATAATAAATCACAAGATTACTTGTGATGGTTTACTGCTGACTTCTTTCTGAACAGCGACCGATGAGACGATGACTGTCGTATTGATGCCTCCGCGAAAATTGGGGAAGTTGATTTTGAGCAAACAACAATGAATTGATCGTTCAATCTTCAAATAAATTTTTAATTATTTTAATTTTTTATTTTTGATTACAGCTTGATTCCACACTGTTTTTTTGGTACAGGTTTGGAATTTTCAGCGTGGATATCGGTAGCGCAAAATTCGCAGGCCGACCATAGATATCAGGTGTGCGTCGGCGTGGGCTCTAACCCTGGACCATATGCATTGTCGTCGAGAATCATAACCACTGTGCCACCGACTCACATTGATGGTGAGCCAAATTCTGTAAGCGGAATCAATTCTGCGAGTACATCTGCGGAAAATGCGCTTCAGTAACAGATGACCAAATATTTGTCACTGAGGCAGCAGAGGGCTATCATTTGTTTTGGATTTTGTCTTGTTCATTCATGTTGGCATCAAATTATCTCTCTTGAATTTCTCCCGAAAACCCTGGTTTTCATTGAAGTTGTGGGCTATACGTTTACATTATATTTTGCATGGTTGTAACAAATAAGTCTTTCTATTGCCCAGCCTATCTTATCCAAGTAGAACAATCTTTGTCGGGCAAAACTAGATCAAATACTCAACAAACATGGTTGTACGCCTTAGGAAGCTCCTCATACGGATTTCATACACTTTGTCTGATGATGTGGTTATTAAGCACTATAAATATCACCAGTCGTACTGGCTGAAGTCGAATCTGCTATATCAAAATGATTGTTATTTGAGTGGTGAGTGTGGGAGCGCGATAAGAAAATTATATATGACCTTAGAACGAGGCTTCTTAAAACCTTATGAAATCGTTTTCTAAGGTGGAACACACATTCCGAAGTAGATTTCACTCTATCTGTTAATCCATATAAAGTGGTGTTTGTAAATATGATTGACATTTAGACAGTCGTCCTTTTTTGACTTATAATAAATGAGTGCTTCTGCTTTGAAGTTATATTTTCAGACATATTTTAAAAGTTTTCCGTTGAATAGGTACCTCGGACGGACATGATAAGCATCCACCACAAGACTTCAATGAGATCTCTGATATGTGTACCATATTTGTCCCGTTGAAATATGTGATCGAAGGGTAGTCCGCAGTTTTAAAGAATTAAAAATATAAATTGATCTGTGATACGAAATGTCGTAACCATGGTAAGGAGCACTGAACAGTATAAGCAATAATGTATGAAGGCGTTGGAATGTATTTCGATGGCACAGAACGAAAATTGAAATTGACCACACTTTTTTAAGCATCAGAAATTTTGGAATGGATAATTTTCCTAGAAAACTACTGAATTGTTGTCTTTTGACCAGTTGTTGATGACAAAATCAGGGTAACACAGTTTACTAGTGGAGGAAACCCAATCACCAAAGTGTTAAGACAAACGAAACTACTGGCGGGTGGTTCTGAGCGACACCTCCAATCGACCATCACTTCAAACTCACCCAGAAATACAACGGTCACAGAATTATCAATGAACACCAAATTTTCTTGGAGGACGGTTATTTGCCAGAAACGTGCTCCTGTGGAGTCAGTCAGTTGTTCTGCTTGAAAGATGTCAGACCAGTTTCCGGTTTGCTTCAACTATAATTAATGTTGATGATTGTTGTGTGGTCATTTGTCCGACTGGACCTGAGATTTGGTCATATTACCTGTTAACGCTCTAGCCTGATACACCCTACCTAATGGCCAATTTGCTCTTAGTACCACCTTAACTAGTGAAGCGAGAACACAATACATACTGCTTTTCAAGTATGCATTTGTTAACGAAAGTGTGGAGGTGGCATGGGGATAGACAGTCTTACTACAGTGCAGCCACTGCCCATTTGTCCCATAAAAATCTAGCTGCCCATGATGTGATTCAGTCAGCTCAGATAAATAAACCGATCACTGAAGGCAAAATAGCTGAGGTTTCGTTAAATTCACAAATACGTTTGATCCTTCACACGTTAAAAAGTTTGCAGACTGACGTCAATATCATGCAAATTGATACTTCTGATTGAATCACTGTGATCTTCTGTCAAATAGCAAGCTTTGGAACGAATACAAAACTAATTCGAATAAGCAGTTTGTCTCTCGGCTCCGGTCAGATGGGGGAATTCGCTGAGGTTATTAACAACCATAGGACGAAAAGAAAATGTTTTTTACAACTGATCAGGTACCAGTAATGACGAACGACAAGTGCTTCACAGGTAATTAATCATACAGCACAGAGTATGGCAATGCTTCGCTTTGTGCTTCGTAACACAACACAAGAATACTCTGATGGGAGAGCAACAAAGCCTCAAAACAACCGTTTAGGGATGATATCGTCCAGGATACATAACGAATCAGTCCGGTAAAGTTAGAAAGACAGTTCAAGGTCTGTTATTGCAGTTAGCATCAAAATGCTTGGGTTTTCAAGGTATCAACTGGGGTGCGGACGAAGAATTGCAATGAAGAAGAAAAACACACTCGAAAATGTTATGCGGTGTTGGTTTAAGAAATATATTAGTAATAAGAATTTACTTTATTCCAAAAGGAGCACTTGTGAAATTTTCAGCCTTCCTAAGTTGTAAATGTGCAGCTCTTACTACGCTGGACCTCACGCTGTCCCTCGAAGACTTTCAGAAATAGTTTGTAGTAATCAACGCGGAAAACCGGAATACAGATTGGCGACTCGAGAATCCTTTATTCTTACGCCAGTATGTAACCAACAATATGGATATTATACACAAGGTCTAACAATAAATGTTATAACAACAAAATCACGATAATACTTCTGATAGTTTTCTGTCTTCCACCGAACAGCGAACGATGAGACGATGACAGATGGATGGATGATTCCCGACAAAAATATGGAGGAGTTGGGTTTGAGCAAACAACCATGAATTGATCGTTCAATCTTCAACTTCACTGACACGAGTTTTTCTTAGAAGTTGAATCTATTACTATTGTTATAACACCCTTCTCTACAAGGTTCACATTGTCATATTTCATAATCTAAACAAAAGCAGTTGATGAGGTTTCATGTACAGTTATGGTAACTTTTAAGTGCTCCGAATTTCTTCAGTTTGTTGATGTTCAGGTCTCATGAAGACCTGTTGTATTTTATACTCATTTTAAACCTAAATGCCATAAACCTTATATCTGATGGAGCCATCTTCTTAAAGCCATTTCATATGAGAGCGGATGTGGGGCTACCAGAATGTTATAAAGTTTTCAGTGAACGCCAATCGAATAAGCAACAACTGATAACCACTGGAGCAATGCAATGAAGGTATAGAAATCTTTTCATGGACCCGCCTTCAGGTCTCTTAGTATTGCTTTGTCCTCAGTGTTTGTAAACAGAATTAAGTCCCAGAGGGGCTACTCTCTTGTTACAGACCATAAATTACAAAATTTCGTCGGTGGCACAGTGGTTAGGACTCTCGCCGTCCATGCATATGGTCCGAGGTTCGATCCCCTGCCGACGCACACCTGATATCTATGGTCGGCCTGCAAAATTTGGGCTACCGATATCCATGCTGAAAATTCCATACTTGTTCTTAAAATACAGTGAGGAATCAAGCTGTATTCAAAGTTAATAAATAAAAATAATTCTAGGACTATTGTACTTTCGCTTACTGTTTTCAGCAAAGCTGCAGCAGTTGACAGGGACGACTAAGCTGTAATCTAACGAAAAATCTAAAAAACAAGTGAAAAGTGCCAAAAAATGATGACGAGTGCACAAGTTCGTTCGTTAGATATAACACATAGTCTGTTTGTTTTAATCTTCACTTGTGTTGACTTTAGCGCTGAACTTGGGTCTCTCCAAATCTTTGGATTTTAGTCATTGGTACAGTTCATTATCATTTGGCTTCGCATAGAAGTTTTAACGGACAGTTTTGAATTCTCCTTCCACATGATTATCTCCCATTTCCAACGGTAATGCAGGCCTACTGTAACGAGGAAATAATGCTAGGGTAAGCAGAAGTCTTATATGTGTATGGTGAGTCAATGTCGATTTACTGCTGGCATCGAAAAAATTTTCCACAGCAGCATTCTCCACACCCTGCTATTCTCAGCGCTAACCACATTTCCCGCATTGTCAATGTTTGCTGTGAAGTTACCGTTTCTAGTTCTAGGTTAAAATATTATTTTCCCACACAGTAGCACTTCCGCTCGTCCTTTCCTCAGTGACTGCTGTTAGCAGATATTTTCGTAACAACGTTTTAATCACCACTTTCCACATTTTTGGCATCATTGGAACTGTTCCCGTCCCTCATTGTCGCGCTTAGTGTCAAAGGGATGTTATACACAGTTGTCTTAGTTTTTCGTTCTGGTCAAACCGAGAAACATTTGAAGTGTACGCTTACTCATCTTTAATGGAAACGTTTACCCGCACTGTTTTAACCTGACGAGACGCTTGTTAGCCTCAGTCGTGAATTCAGAAATCAGATCAGTGTTGAAATTGATTATTAAAGAAATGGGAGGTATACACTCCCTGCAGGCTATGTGAAACAAATAAAGCACAGCAGATATTTAGAAATCATACTACCCTCTGAAATCAACACAAGACTCGTGCTGCTTGGAATGCATATGTCCGGTCAAACCCATTAGGAGAAAAAACCTGTGTTGGGTCAGCGAAAAGCTGTGGTAGTTAGGCGGTTCCTCTCAGTACCACCTGACTCAATCTCTTCAGACATCATTGGACATGATTTGGTGGTGGCGTTGGTCATTTCTCATGCCTAGCTATTCGAAAGTTAGACCTGTAAATTTTTCCCGAATAACAGCTATGTTGGCAGTCATGTATAGATTGTCGAGTGATTTTGTAGAAACAATTGGTCACTATTCCTTGATCATGTCCTACCTAATATGTGAACTTCTTTGTTGATATTCACTAGTGAAGAACTAAGTTCCTAATCATCTTTGATCATGATAGTAAACAAGCATCGTCCGTCGTCTTATCAGTCAGGCTTTAGATTTGCCGTTGGAAGAAAATTTTAAACTATATTTGCACCTTGGAATCGGAGTTATAAAGTCTCCCATAACTGTCAGCGTTGGGAATAGTGGCTGCCGAGCAACTTCTGTCGCCATTTAGTCTCAAGTGGTTGTTTTCCTTCTGGCTTTCGCTGAAAAGCACTATAGTCACGTTTTGTTTATTCTTCGGGTAATAGCAATGTTTAATCTTTGGTTGAAGCCTTGTCAGTATCTCGACCGATACCTCTCAAGTGTCGCTTTAGCTTCTGAGCATAAGTATTTCTAAACTATCCAAGCTTCTGAAGTTACCAAACACGAAGTTGACAGAAATGAGGTATAGGCCACCTCGATCCTCCGAAAGGTTTTCAGTGCTGTTGTATGAACAGAAATCACATGTGTTGTTGCGAGAATAGTGTCGTTCTCAAAGTGAATCATGAAAAACCTTTATAAGTGTAATGTAGTAGAAATACAGTTGTTACTTGAATACAAAGTAGGTATCTTAAATTAGCAGCAGAAATCTAAACTTGCTAGGCTCAAAATAAAAATTCCATTTCAAATATGACTGGCAGCGTTAATCAAATGGCAGATGCAGATAAAAAGACTTGATGGAACGTCAGCTTAAATTCGTCGGTTCGTGCAACTGTAGTGGCAGACTTTCAGCTGTACAACAGAAAAACCGGAATAACTTTTACTGATTGGGACGTTTTCACTGTGGAAAAAGTCCACAAAACACACATGTTCCTAAGTGAAATGGATCAGTGTACTTCGGACCTTCATATTCACTGCTGTAGGCTTTATTTCTGCGTATGACTGGACCCAAAGAGAATATTTAGCATTCGTTTATCTGCAGAGAGATATAGGCCAACGATTGACACTTTTTAAAAGCCAGACAGCTATGTACCCAATTAATGGCCGCTTCTGTTTCGCTCTCAGCACCCTGTTGTCCACCCGTAGTTCCTAAAAGTTATTATCTGGGTGGGGGCAAACTTTTTTGACGATGACGGACTACATTGGGTGTGTAGCTCCCAAGTTGAACGGCTTGATCATACCAAGTTCCCAAAACAAGTTCTTTATCTTAGCACGATATGTGACATCACTTTTCAATGCGATTTCTTTTTGGAGACGTTATACTGTTGTATATACGTCTTCCGGTGACCTGAAAGTTTGTTACAACCTGTTTTCCTACTGTGACCCAAAGTTTAACTTTGGGATGAAATGACAAATCGTACATAAATGCTGTTACGGTAATTTCCCCGCCCCTCTAAGTGACAAGTAAAATGTTGAGCATGTCTATTTCAGTAATAAGGTCGCCTGGCAGATCATGAGTCATTCATCTTTCACACTCGAATGCTAACCAGTCGTAGCGAAATAACTGGAAATGCGGAAATAATGTGGGTTATACTGAGAAGTAGCATAGTTGGGAAAATGAAGATTTTGGCATCTGAGCAGTAGTTTCGCATTGACTCACCATACAAAAACCTTTTCAGCTTTCTCGAGCATTATTTCCTCGTTACCTAAGGCTCGGTACCTTAGTGATGGATTTTACGAAATAAAAGTCCAGTTGGAATTTAAATCTAATTTCGATGTATAATTTATTTTTAGCATAGTTCGTTTTATTGACCTACTGAAAACGATAAGATTGCGCTAAGAAAACGCTTAATCGTCAACCGGTTGGATGACTTCAGCGTAGAACCTCCAACAAAATTGATCAGGTCAAATATGAACGGAATGATGTTGTTGGGGACTAGTGTTATTAATTTAGATTAAATAATAACTTCTATACTGTCTGTAAGCATTGATTTTAAGCTTCGTGAAAATCTGATTGAGCAACATCCACATATTTCGTCAAGTCAGCTGTCACTAACTGTTAGTATTATAGCTAAGATTGTTGGGATAAGTGTCGTGACGCCATGTATCCAAAGTAAACACCGTGGTTGTCGTCAATTTAGGCTTTTGAATGATTGAGGTGGTTATTTCATGTTTCAGACCCGAACAAAGGTCGCGTTACATCCTCATTTTGGTAACAATACAGTGAAGTCGAAAACTCTTCAATTGTCATTTTAAAGCCTATCCAGTGGTCTTTAGTAGTGGTGACAGGCATCCACAAATAACTATTCAGTTTTGGTCGAAGGAACAAGCCTTGGAAAAATAGAGATTAGTGAGACTAACTGTTAACTACCTAGGAATACGACATTTATTTTCAGAGAAAAATGCTCCAAGTCGAGATTCGTACTTCATATTTTACCGTAATTTCAAAACGTGGCATCTCTGGAGTGTTTCAGGTTATTTCACTATAGTGATGTGCTAGGGATGTTAGCTCACACATGATTTGTCATCTCACGTGGTTCTCTGGAGTTGGTTTTCTTGCATGGTGTTCATACCTCGTAGTAATGAACTAGTGCTATCTAAACATTGTGAAGTACACTAGATTGGTAGGATCACTTCAGAAAGGTTCATTTATGATGAAGTATGGGTCTACATGTGATTCGGGATTTTTGTTTTGCATTTCGACATTTACAGTGGAGCGTTTGTGTGAAAGGTGAAGACTTGGACTGGCACACTGTCAGTCCCTATGTTGTTTATGTATCCATTTTATTGTAAATTCGCTTTTGTGAAATATATGCTTTAAAATTATCTTTTCTGTATGTTGTTCTCGCCTTTGTGTATACAGATATCTCATTAGCTTATACCCTAACCGCTAAGTTGAATCAGAGTTACAAAAATCATACCATTCTCATATTTCAGATTCGCCCATGAGTGACCCAGAAGGGATTAAATCATTCCTATACAACTTTCTGCAAACTAGAAGGCGTGTTGCACCGGAGTACACTTTTGTCGAAAAACCTGCTGGTCGTGGGAAGACTAGGTTTTTGTGTGAAGTAAGTTTGTCACATTGTCGAACTAGTTTAGGTCCGTGCTGATGGTTTTAATTACGTCGGAATTGGAAATTCAACGACAAAAAAAGATGCCCAGACTAATGCAGCAAGGGATTATGTAAACTATCTTGTACGTGAAGGCGAGATTCCTGCTTCCTCTGTTCCCGTGATTCAGGTATATTGTATTCTTGCTTAACTCCGTAGCCTGGTAATATCGTGCCCGTCGAATCAGCAAATTCATTTCAACCTCTAAATTCTGAACAGAAGGTGACAACTGAGTCACGGACAAGTTCATTCGGTCCCGGGGGTAGCTATATTAGTAGCATTTATGATCAAAAGAAACTAGAAGAGGTAGGTGATCTTTGAATTCCACTCTTACTATTTGTTAATTTAGGCAGAGGAGGTAGATTTAACGTCTGATTTGCATGGTGGATGGTCGCTTGAAAATGCTAAGGGTCGTTTAAATGAATACTTGCAAGCAACTCGGCAGCAGATCGGACAGGTGAAATATACCCCTGTGGGTCCAGACCATGGCAGGTAAGATTAAAGTTGTGTATATGATGATTTGTGCAGAAGTACTCTTGAGTAATGTTAGTTTTTTGTTGTGATATTTATGGAAGCAGTTGTTTATATGTTTATATGGTGCGTCGGTGGCACAGTGGTTAGGAAGCTCACCGACCACGCACATGGTCCGGGGTTCGAACCCCAGCCGACTCACTCCTCCCTTACCTCGCTAAACCAGAAATAATCCTGGTAAAGAGGAAAGGTTGGACATGAGGCCAGCAACCCCATCCTGTAAAAATAAATACGGCTACAGAAACTTCAAGCCGCTAGCTTGAAGCCCTATGTTCCACTGGGAAGGTGAATTGGAAAAAGTGGCAAGGCGGACAGGAATGCTGGGTGTCAAGTGAAGCATTCAGTGCCCTGATCGCTTTTTCACTCAATTTCGCTAATGTTGTAACGAATTGAGTGGTCTTAGCGATCAGTTGGCTCTGAGTGCTAATAAAGTGATACATTCCTGTTTGTTTACAGCTCTTGTTCGCGTCCTTCTTGGTCTTCGTTCAACTTGAATTTCGGTGATGGTATGTTAATTTTATTCGGGATGTTATTTGGGGAATATTTACTCTCAGTAATGTAGCGTTTTGTATTGGAACGTTTCAGTCAATGAGTTACGCTAAATTAATCGTTTAAAATGCTTATAGGAGTTACATAGCCGAGATGACCGTCGTCGCAAAGAAGCTTCGGAAAAACCTATATGCTCGAGAAGCAGGATCAAATAAACAGCTGGCATCTCGTGCTTGTTGCTTATCATTGGTTCGTCAGCTTTTTCATGCTGGAGAAATTGAAGCATACACCGGTGAAAAAAAGAAAAAGAAACACTGTGAGGTAAGTTTGAGAGTGAATGTTTTCGTAAACTATTTGTCTGGTGCTTACGTAGTTCAAAAAGGTGTCCTTAAAGACGGTTACTTGTGCCCAACATACTTTACAACACATTTTGCCGTTTTCACGAAATTTACATTGTTTCCGGACTTGGTAATTCAGCACATTAATGGACTGATACTTGACATCCTAGCAATGAAGCTCTGCAGTTCCCATATGCTCAGAGGTTTGTATAAAAATTACTTGAAAAGCTCTATAATACTAAAGCTTTTGACATATATATATATATATATATATATATATATATATATATATATATATATATATATATATATATATATTGAAATGGAATCTCAAGATTTGATTGAATTTGGACACAATGTAGAAGCTTAAGTTTAATTAATCCTTAATCATCGAGTGTGTTCAAAGCTCGACCTTAAGTTTTGGCAGTGCTTTCAGTGGTGTTTAGCGAAATTTGAATATTTAACAATAATTCTTGTACATTATTAGCTTTCAATTTCATTACTGGTTAATGCAATAATGTAAATGTTTCATAACTTCGGTCATGATTTTCACGAAAACTAGTTTGCTCTAAGACAGAACTAGTCTTGCCTTTCGTTCCAACTACTAGTTGTCTAGATAACGTTTTCATTACTCTAAACAGGGTAAGTTTATGTTCAAGAAATGCTAATTCTAATTGTGTTAGCTTACTTGCTGAACTCCTAAAGGCGGTTGTAATGGATGATTGGATTTTAAAGGATTTAAGTGGAAATCAGCCGCAGAAATCCATGGAAACCTTTTCTTTGTACGACTCATACCACTTTTTAACATCGTTACATACCTGTTCTAAGCTCTTTGTAGCTGTAGATTTTGATGTTTCAGACAGTGGTTCTGCTTATACACCCTCAATTTAAACATAGAGGTAAACAACTTCGGTTACTTTGGTTTTAAGACAAATCTTGTGTTATTTCGATTGTCAGCGACATAAGTTACCATCTCTTCTCTGAACCCGTGTGTCGCTTGACTTTTATTTAAAATTTGGGCTTATTTTTATGTGTTCGTATAAGTATGTATCACGATTCTATTATAATTATTTCTCGATTTTGATGATTTACCTTAAGGTTGCAGTATTCGATGTCTGTCTGAATAAAAAAGTTGAAGAGAATTTGACCAGAGTGCTGGACAGTCTGGGTTTGCCAGTTAATTCGGAGCCTCCCGCAAATCTTCCACCAGACCAAGTCTACAATATGATCACCAAATATAATTTGGTGGGTTTCGATGACGCTCCGAAACAACAACCTCAGTCAGTTGCTTGGTGTCCACCACAACCTAACTGGAATCCATGGACTGCCTGCAATATTGATGAGGGTCCAGAGGTACGTTTTTGTAAAAAGGTTGATGACATTGTCAAACATAGTTGTGTACGACACTTGTGTTTAGGTGTCATAAATAATGACAGTAGTGATCGTATTGGATGGATGGGATAACTGGTAGGAAAAGGTCATTTACATACTAAATAATCCATCATGAAATTAGTGTGACTTTTTGCATGTTTGCTAATTTATTTATTATTTATTAGTGGGTTCGACTTGTATATTAAGTAGGGTAACTTGAAGTATACCATAGGGGTTTCAGTGGTAAATAATAGGTTAATTGTGGAAAGAAAAAAGAATTTCTGGCTTGATATTATTTTTTTCGTTGGGAATTCTGTAAACTGGTAATTCGTTTACATTAGAGGAATAGCGTAGTCTACGAGAATAGAATCTTCAGGTTTGCAGGTAATTACCGTGATGTAGTTCAGAGTGACTGACTAGTTTCAACGCAGAACTTTTCGCAGATGTGCAACAGTTCGAGTTGCCACACTTCACTCAACACTCAAAGCAACAGAAGAAAGTAAAGGAGAAATGCAAAACACAGACAGTAAACAGAGACATGAGGCAAAAAGAATAGTAATATCGAAGAACAAGATAGTTTTATTGGGTACTATTGTAACAACAGAAGACAAGGGCCAGGCAACAGATCGTTTATTGTGGAAATCAACACATATTTATAGATCTTCATGTACATATTAAAGATTATTGTTAGCAGAAAAACACAGTCTTCTGATTGGTTGTTCCTCACAGAAAGTTAACCTTGCATCTCGTTGTGGCTGCTTCTTGAATGTCAGATCATCTATATGTTAACTGTATCCGCCTACGCAAAGCCTTCGTTCTCATTTTTCTCGCGACTAATATTGGGGAAATACACATTGACGTAAATTACTGTCCACCATTTTTGACTAGCAGCCAGCTCTCACCACACTATAAGTCAAGAGGAATGGATGCATCTTCACCAGCTATATTGAGAACGATTTTGAGCCATATCACCAATTGTCTTCAGTCTGCATTGGTTTCTACCGTCCCGAGGACCCCGACCAGACAGCAGTCTAAACTTCTCTACGTGGCTGGCTGGTTGGCTTAAACTAACTTTTGTCGATTTCATTGATTATTGAAGCCATGTTTTGGTTTGACCACTACTGGCTCTTTTCCAACCTGATCCATCCTATGTCGACTGACATTGACCGTTGTCGAGGAAGGCGATGGATAGGCATACGTAACACATGTCCTAACCATATAAGTCGAAGTAGCTTCAGGATAGTATATATTCACCTATATATTGTTTTTAAATGCGTATTGCAACTGTAGTCAGCGAAGCTTTATTCTGAAAATAAATGTCAAACTTGTGACCATTATATAAAGCTACTCGATGTACTGTGAATGACATTTCTTCCATCATTGTGAAAGCAAGATTCTATTGTTTATGTAAACTAACCGAATACTTTGTGAAATTATTTAGTGACCGTGTTTTTCTGGGAGTTTTTCAGTAGCTGGTTGCTTTTTGTGTATATACTTTCCTCGTGGGAATTTTAGCTGCTCTGCATAAAACTTTACAGCAACAGCATTTTCCTGTAAGAGTTGACGCTTTTAATGTCCAGTCTAGTAATTCTTTCAGTTGATACTCACTTCAGCGAATACATTTATTAAGCAGTTGATGTGACCAGTGTGCCACTTCCACTAGTTCACACTTGTGTATCCTCCGTGGTAATTACTATCGTCTAGCTGTGATGGTGTATTTGCTAAATTCGTGTGAAAAACAGCAGTATAATGCCACACTTTGCTGTTTCGAACCACATTGTCTTATACTATCAAGAAGGTTGTTGGATCTCGTGTCTCAGCTGAAAAAAGTCTCTCGGTGATTAATTGTATACAAAATTGCCACAGTGCAAAAGCAAAACATAAGCAATGTATATATGGCAGATCGAATGTAGTTGTTTTCACTGAAATGTTTTGTTGACTAAACTGTGCATTGTTTTCTTGACTTTTCATGAGCAAGAATGTGTAGTCCGGTGGTTCTGCAGATCCCATTTATTTTCAGAATATTTTACTGTCATTGTCATATTTTCTATTTCACAAATCACATTCTATTTCTGCTTTAAAGGCTAATCAACCATTATTCAACATCAGCGCTAGCTTAGCAGAGGCACGATTGCATCGGCTTGATAGTGACCATGAGTTACGATCCTTAATAGACGAACGTTCTCAGTTACCTGTGAGTCCGTACAAATCTTCGATATTGGAAGCCATAAAATACAACAGAGTCACATTAATTCGAGGTGAAACTGGGTGTGGAAAAACTACACAGGTTAGTTTTTTTCACATATTGAATTATTCAGTATTATCACCAAACGTAGTATGCAGAGAAATATTTTGATCGGTACATTTATTCAAATTTCAGATTCCCCAGTTTATTTTGGACTCTTATTTGGAATCGGGAATGGGTGCAGAATGTGCCATTCTAGTAACACAACCTCGACGTATATCAGCAATTAGCCTAGCCGAACGCATCGCATACGAAAGAGGAGAAACAGTGGGGACTTCTGTTGGGTACTGTGTGCGTTTTGAAACTGTATATCCTCGACCATATGGTTCTATTCTGTTTTGCACAGTTGGGACAATGGCACGCAAAATGGAAGGGGGTCTTCGAGGAGTCTCTCATATAATCGTTGATGAGATACATGAAAGAGATGTTAATACTGACTTTATGCTCATACTACTTCGTGATATGATTCGGGCAAACAAAGACCTTCGAGTTGTCCTCATGTCTGCAACCATTGACATCAGTATGTTCAACGACTACTTTGGTGAATGCATGATATTGGACATAGAGGGTCGGACTCATCCCGTTGAATGTAAGTTTGATCGTCTTACTTTGAATTTGCTATTTCTAGTAAGGAAATTTGTACTAAAAGTTCCTTTGATGGTCAGAAATTTGTTGTCTTTGTCCATGTGCTTATTGATCTGTTTAAATTGTAGCAAAATGCACTTTGAGAAAGGAAACTTGTGACATAATTGAAGTAATTAAAATAGAACATCCACAATGGTAACTTCGATTCCGTGCTACTGACTTAGAAGACTGTTTCTAGTATGGCGGTTGAATTAATAACAATCTGAATTGTATTTTTTTCTGTATGTCGCGAAACTGGTCATCATTTGATGTTGTCTGTTTTATTATCATGTAATTCAACTGGGAAAATTGTCGAACTGCAATGTTGGTCACATGAAAAGACGAAATTTTTAATGAATTGCCTCAAGTCACATAGAATTTTAAGTGTTTGAGAAGAAATACCTCTTTCCGGATTACATTCAAAATTATTTGATAAGTTCATAGGATGACTTAAACACATTTTACGGATAATTATGTGATAAAATGTACGGAAAATTTACGATTTTTACGTCTGCGACAATTAATTATCAACTTTAGGCTATAACTCTGGGAATTCGAAGGAAGTTTTTTTTCTATCAATATTCAAACTTTTATGGAATTCTTATTTCACATTACGAGTGTGAATCAAGTCGATTCTCAGTAGTGTGGTAGATTATGTGAGTAATGTTCTTCCTGGGCATATTAACCAGATACTTTTTCTTTGGGTCTTTGGTTTACATTCAGAAAACTAATTACATATGATGATTTATTGACTTTTAAAAATCTTATTCAGTGTCTATGTACAACCTCTGCATATTTATGTGTAAATGAAATTCTGTATTCCAAGTCACGGCCATATGACAAGGTAAAAAGACATTTCAGATAACTATGAAATGAATTCATAAAATTCTACTGAGAAATATCTAAACTTCTGTCTGTCTGTCTGTCTGGATTCAACATAGAACTTGGCACCGAAGTGCAGCAGTTCGAGTTGCCACGTTCCAAATAGCACACAGAGGTAGACAAGAAGATGAGTGGAGAGAATTAATAGAGTTTGACAAATATAGGAGTGAAACAGAACTTCACCAAAATTCTATGCTACTTTTTTGTTTAAGTATCTGTTTATACACTCCAAACCACTTACTTGTTTTAAATGGGGTGCTTATATTTATATGTTTTAAGTAATGTCAGGCTTACTCTTTTACATTCCCACTTAAGAATCTTATGCTGATACATGTCGCCTCACCAACCTAGCTGGTAGTTGATTCTAATTTTGTTTCTACGGTTACCATTTTAATAGGAGTTTTAGTCTTTTTGTTGTGCCGATAAAATAATGTTCACTGTTGTTGGGATTTCGTCTTCCTGTTATCAGATTATTTCCTCGAAGACTGTGTGAAGATGGTCAACTTTGTACCCCCACCTGTCGAGGAGAAGAAAAAAAAACGGCGTCAAGAAGTGGAGAACACCGCGGATAACTCTGAGGAGAATTGCAACTTAGACTGTGACCCAGCCTATGGTGATGCAGTGATTCAAGCAATGAAAGATATTACAGAAAAGGAGGTACCTTTCGAGCTTGTTGGTGCTCTTCTCGATAAAATAGTAAGCATGAGCATTCCTGGTGCAGTGCTGATTTTTCTTCCTGGTTGGAATATCATAAGTCTTCTACGCAAATATTTACAGTCACACCCTAGATTTGGCGGTCCCGATTTCTTTATTTTACCACTTCATTCACAAATTCCTCGCGAAGATCAACGCCTGGTTTTCCGTCCAACTCCTCCTGGAATAAGAAAAATTGTTTTGGCAACTAATATCGCCGAGTCCTCCATTACAATCAATGATGTCGTCTTCGTGATTGACTTTTGCTTATCACGTACGAAGCTTTTCACTGCACGAAACAACCTAACAGCATACAATACATCATGGGCAAGCAAGACAAACCTTGAGCAGCGTCGAGGTAGAGCTGGTCGTGTTCGTCCAGGATTTGCTTTTCATCTCTGCAGGTGAGATAGCTAGTAACTGATGACGTTTTTGTGTCATAAGTTTGATTCACTAGTCCCTTTTGTAAAACGAATTTTGAAGTTGGCATGCGTTTTAAAGTCTTCAACTTAGTTTGTTGCATTAGGAAAAATGTCATGTTTTCGGTTCTTTTTTTAACGGTAAAACATATTGCTTGGAAGTCAAATTTCCTGACTTTATTTTTGTAGCCGCTCACGCTATGAACGTTTGGATCAACACGCTACTCCAGAAATCCTTCGTACTCCGTTACATGAGTTGGCACTACTTATTAAGCTTTTGCGTCTTGGTCCTGTCAGAGACTTTCTGATGAAAGCCTTGCAGCCTCCGCCATTAGATGCAGTAATTGAAGCTGAGCATACTCTAAAAGGTTGGTTTAACACTTATACTTCTGCTCTAAATTTTATTTTTGTTTTTAAAATTGTTTTTCTTCGCCTATTGTTCAATTGTAAGGTTTGTTTGTAACTGATCGGTCAAAGTGGGATTTCCCCATCCAACATCGCTTACGGAAATCAAAACAAATATAGGCTATTTTTGAACTATCAGTTTGAATTCATAACAAATTACTAGGATGTGACGAATCGTTTTATGGTGTGGAGATTTGAGTATCAATTAGCATTTCGTCATAAAACGGAGTCTTCCGCTGAAATTTATTTATTGCCACATTTTTGCGGTAATTTTTTCATGTTCCTCCGTACCTCCAGTATTAAACTGTAATCAGAGTTAGTTTATTCGTGATTTTTCAAACACTTTTCTTTTATGTCTACCAGAAATGAAGGCTTTGGATGGCAATGATGAGTTAACTCCTTTGGGATTCATTTTGGCTCGACTTCCAATTGAACCACGTTTGGGGAAGATGTTAGTTTTTGCATGCGTGTTTAATTTAGGAGGAGTAGCCGCTGTTCTTTCATCAATCGCAAGTCTCGGCCTTGATCCATTCCTACTGCCACCGGATAATCGGAGACTCTCATACCACCAACGAAGCTTTGGAGCGGGGTATTCAAGTGACCATTTAGCCGGTTTGAATGTCTTTCAGGTGTGGGCTTACGAGCGTACTCGCCATGGAGATGAAGCAGCTGATATGTTGTGTGAGCATCATGGCTTCAATAGTTCTGCCTTACGAATCATCGATGATGCTGCAAACCAAGTATGTGTAATTCTCCCAGGTTTTGGTGACTACTTTCAAACTTTACTCAAATGAGTCCATGATGTTTTTAAAATAACACTGTCAAATTCATGCATGCTTCACACAACCACGCGTATAACTTTTCAGTACGCGTGTTGTTTGCTGAACAATTACAAAATGTCTAATAACAACAGATGACAATAAATATGCGGTTATGTTTGATAGCTCTATGCCGCAAAATTAGAGGAGCAAATATTAAACTGACACATTCTCATTAGACTGATGTAAACTGATCAATTAGGTATGCATGGTGATTGTTGGAATAACTCCATCATATACTCATTTTATTATTTGTTAAGTAACACAATGATAAAGAAAGGTCCAGTTATTCGTACTCTATTAATTATACTTAGACTTCAGGTTATCTCGTCCACTTTTGGTAAAGACAGGTTTAGTTAAGTGTTGGACAAATTCTAGTTGGTACATGAGAAAGCCCAAATAGTGAGAAGAGACATTTGTGCTAAATAATTATTTCATAGAATTCGCCCGAAATATCGGAGAAATTCTCAGTAAAAAAAACTAGTAGTGAAACTATATTAACCGTAACAAATTCGAATTGCGTGATATGGTAGAGATAATGTCTCCGTACACAGACAACATTTGGAAATAATTTGTATTGATTGTTGTTGCTCATTCCGTCTATAGTATTCCTTTATAATACTCATAAATATATTAGGTGCATTTAATTAATTTTGGGCTTTTTTATTTTCATAATTGCAGCTCAGAGGTATTCTTATCAATTTGGGTTTTCCTGAAGAATCGTTATCTGATGCTCCGATTAATTTCAATGTCAAGCATAATGTCGACTGCGACATAGTTTGCACGTTATTGATTTCTGGGTTATACCCTAATATCTGCTATCATTCGGAAAAACGCAGACTACTAACTATGGAGGGCACTTTAGCACTTATACATAAAGCCTCCATCAACTGTTTCAAAGACACGAAGTTCACTTACCCGTTTTTCATTTTCGATGAGAAGGTAATTTGACACAAATATTAGAAGTTAAATTCATGGTTTATATTTTTAAAGTGATTCACTACTTCCCAAGAATGCTATGTGATTCACTTATTGTTCATTTTGACTACAACATTTTCCAGAATAATGACGTTATTCAGTTACATTTGTTTCATTAATGTAAGTGTTAGATATATGGTCATCGTAACAAAATGTAATTCCATGTTAGGATAAGTTTATTTGATATAACACAGTAGTCTGTCTGTCTGGATTCAACATAGAACTTGGCACCGAAGTGCAGCAGTTCGAGTTGCCACGTTCCAAATAGCACACAGAGGTAGACAAGAAGATGAGTGGAGAGAATTAATAGAGTTTGACAAATATAGGAGTGAAACAGAATGGGTAATGGTAGAAAGGAATATGAAAGATTACAGAGATTGAATACATCTGCGCCATTGACAACGATTTTGAGCCATGTCACCTATTGTCTCCAGCCATTGATTCCTAGAGTCCCGAGGGCCCCAACCCGGGAGTCTGCATCTCCCTACCTGACTCAGTTTAACTGTCAAGGATTTCATGGATTGATGCCATGTTTTTGTTTGGCCACCACTGGCTCTTTTCCAACCTGAACCTATATCAGCTAACAATGCCCGTCGGGGGAGGCGGTGGTTAGGCATGCGCACCACGTGACCTAGCCATCTTAGTCTATGTAACTTTATAGCCTCGTCGATTGATTTTCCCTCTTTGCCCAACACTCTACGCCTAACGTCAACATTACTTATCTTGTGAAACCACCTAACGTGAGACAGAGATCGCAGACATCTATGATCGAAAGCAGTCAACCTTTTCATGTCTTCAACGCGTATTGGCCATGTTTCAGAGCCATAGAGAAGGACGGAGCGAACTGATGAGCAGTACACACGTCCCTTGGTTGATAACCGGATGTCACGCCTACGCCAGAGATGGTGTAAGTCAGCGAAAGCAGCTCGAGCTTTTCGGATCCGTGCTGAGATTTCATCGCCAATCAGTCCGTTGGTGCTAATACAACTTCCCAAGTAGGTGAAGTGGTCAACATGTTCTATCACTTCACTCCCTATCACTAAGTTAGGGGTTGACGTCGTCCAGTCCTGTAGCAGCATCTTACATTTTGCAGGGGCGAATCGCATGCCAAACATACGAAGATTGCTGCTCAAGGTGTTCAGAAGACTCTGCATTTTGTCAGCATCCTCCCCTAACAGGACTATGTCATCTGCATATTCTAAGTCCATTAGATTATTCCCTGGTAACAAGTCGATTCCTAAGTCACTACGTTCAGTTAAGGATACTTCCATTAGCATATCTATGATGAAGTTAAACAGAAATGGGGAAAGTGGACATCCCTGTCGGACACCACTGGTTGTTACTAATTCAGATGACAATTCCCCATAAGCCCTTACACGACTACGTGAGTTTGAATAGAGTGCCTTGATTAGTGCAATGTACTTTCTTGGCACTCCCTTCACAGTCAGACATTGCCATAGTACTTTTCGGTCCACGGAGTCGAAGGCCGCCTTCAAGTCAAGAAATATGACAATTGTTGGACGCCGAAAAGTGTGTCTATGTTCTAGAATCTGTCGAAGAGTGAAGATATGATCTATGCACCCTCTACCTGGTCTAAAGCCTGCTTGATTTTCCCTTGTCTGTTCCTCCCGAGTTCTGCTTAGTCTATGCATGATTACTGAGCCTAGGATTTTAGAGACTATGTTCGTTAGGCTGATCCCCCTATGATTATCACACGAGGACTTGTTTCCCTTCTTGAATATCGGTATAATGAGTGACTTACCCCAGTCTGATGGTACTGTCTCTGATTCCCAGACTTTGCCTAGTACCTCAGTTAATCTACAAACTAGTATGTCACCCCCATATTTAAACACCTCCGGAATAATTCCGTCGGGTCCTGTAGTAGAGTATGGATAACTACTAATACTGTACCACTATGCGTTATATCAAATAAGCTTATTTAATTTAGAATTACATTTGGTTTAGCCTACTAAAGTGGATACTTCTGTTAAGAGAATGGCGATAAAAACACTGAAGCTTTATTTCGTTAAAATAAGCTATGGGTTTTCAGTGCAATTTCAATGATTTTACTTTTCAGATTCGTACTCAAGCAGTCTCTTGTAAGGGTCTGTCAATGGTAAATCCAATACAGTTGATGCTTTTTGGTTGTCGCACAGCCGTTTGGAGGAACGACGATTCAGGAGAGAAAGGAACTATTATTATCGATGATTGGATTCCTTTCCGTATGGACTATACTTCAGCTGCTCGAATTTTTGCTCTCCGTCCGGCTTTAGAAGCATTACTTGTGCGAACATGCTTACGACCTGAAGGTGTCACTGATCTACAAGAAGAGGATCAGCGCGTTATTGATGTTCTCCATCAACTGTGTTCTCCGGAGGCCTTAGATCCAAACGCTAGTTTTGATGGGATGACTTGTACTGATTCTCCGCCCAAAAAGAGGTTTGCTGTAGCGAGTAATCATCCATTACTTTCTGGTCGATCGCGTCGTAATACGGCTAATGAAGATCCGTACTCTGAGAAGCAAAATTATGGGCGCTACGCCAATCAGTTCAATCGTTTCAGTGGTCCAGATGTAAGATCCGGTGGTCAGTCAGGTTATTGGCAAGACTCAAAGACACAGTTTTCAAATCAGCGGTATTACCAGGCGCCAACAAATCGTTTTCCCGGAAACTTTATGGGAATGCGGTCTTTTGGTGCTAACAATGTGAGAAATAATTATAATGAGCCGATGTGGGAATCACCTCCTATATCAAATTTTGGTGTACCTCCACATCTTCCCCGACCATTTCCTAATGAACAGTTTATCCAACAAAGACCATCTAGACCTACTTGGGGAAATCGTTTCTGATTCCTGATCCCATAGTTTAGTTTTTTTAAACTAATTTTGTTTCAATTTCCTGTGTAAACCCCCCTGCTATGTTATACTGTCTTCATTTTATTCTCATCATTTCTGGTTATTAAATACGCCAGAGCTTTTATTCCCAATGACTTAATATTGTTGTTTAAATGCATTTTCGTTTTCATACTTAATTTTGTTGTTGTCACTGGTTTCACTTATAATATCATATAAACATTTGTAAATTAAAATGCATCTTCATGTATTCCATTTTCCTCTTTACCTTCTATAATCCTCGTAACATTAAAACTGACACGCATTTACCTCCCCTTCCCCCCAGGTATCAGTAATATGAAGTCATAATTCCAGCGGTTTGTGTCTTTCACACTTGGTTTTCTAATGAGCTGGTGATTGTGATTTCTCTCTATATCTGCACTTAATTGACTGAGTTTGAACACAGAGAAACGTTTCATCCGAGTCTATGGTGACGACATCCAAGCTGCTGATTGCCAGCATTGCCATCACTAGTTTTATGCACCCATTCGAACTAAAATCTCTTCGACTTTTCGGCAGTGAAATCGTTGCTGGAAAACATTTCGAAAGCGTATGAAGTCAGTGGAACTCCATAATACTTTGATTATTATACACAACAAAGTTCAAGAAAAGTATTTACTCTGACGTTTCAGACACGATTTATTGTTCTCAGCATTTTAAATGTAACTTCATTACTTCTATAGGTCCATGACAGACAGTGTGTGTAACTCATCAGCCACTTGCATTTCATGCAGTTGTCATTATGCCACACCTATTGTTTGAGCACAAATATACTGCATTTTCTCCCGAAGCCTGATAGGTTTAGGGGATCTAAAACCCCATAGTCTAGTTAGTGGAGGTCCAGTTGAACGAATGACCTACAACTTTGCCGTGACAAATTGAAGAAATCCATTACATGAATTGCACTCGAGAACTGTGTGGAGGAGCTGAACAGTATATATGATTACGAAGTCCTTAGTGATCGTAGATCGTAGAGAAAAGAAGTGGTCACAATTTAAAGCATATCACTGAGTTGGAAAATATAAGTAAATACTAAAGAAACAGGGTTATGAAACTGCAAGATATGATAGAAAATCCAGATGTGTGGAGAAAACCGTACTGATAAAATATTCGCCAGTAAGAAGTAGACATGTGTATACTGAAAAGTTGTCAGAAACTGGATGATGTGAGCATAGCAGATAAACTCTGAGTCTTTATAGTGTGCGTTATGTGCTTCCAACAGCTTAAAGCAGATGAAAAATGTGAATTTCACTTCGTATTGAGTCTGTTATCAAGAAAATCTGTGGAATACAATAGTCTGTTGTCTACTAATCTGTCTGTCTGTTTTCGACATAGAACTTTGCACAAATGTGCGGAAGTTCAAGTCGCCACATTCCGTGTAGCACGCGATTGTCTACTAATACGTAATCTGTCCTTTCTTCTGTTGCACAAAGTTAACTAATATCGTCATTGAAAAGAACACCTACTCTAGATATGTAATACGGTAGATCTTCGTTGAAAACATTGTGAATTACTCACTACATTTATTTGAAAAGTTCAACAGAGATCACTTCAGCAATAGATTTACTATGTCTTAAGATTGTAATGACCAATTAAAATGTTTTGATATTAACATAAGAACCTACATCCAACAGAAAGAGGTGACATTTAATTCAGCTCACATACGCGTAGAGAATCTGCGACAATTAGAAAAATAATCAGAAGAGCACTGAAAATAACTTACAGTTAAAATTGTTTAGGTAAACGAGTACAAATATTCTCTGATTTATTGAGAAGTAGGCAATCATATTGCTCATTACCTTTTGAAACACATATACAAGCTTATGTCTATAAGAGTATAACTGAATGACAGGTAATTAGTTATTTAGACATCTTCCGAATTCATGGGCTATTGGTTCGGGTCCCAGTGGCTTAATGGTCTGGGAGCTCACCTTGTCACCAGAATGTGCTGGGTTCGAACCGTGGTGGTGGGTGCGTACTGATGAAGAGTTTCCGATGAGAACGAAACACTGTCCAGTACTCCCAGCTTTTCCAGTGGTTTTTAAACCATTGTCGACTCTTGATTGAAGTTCTATAACCAATCAAATCCCCACAAACCAACACTTGAATTTCCCGAAAGGTTGGTATTCACATAAGAAGGAATAACTTCGCCTTTAACTGTGTAAATTGTGGATTTAGTTAGCTCATTCACAATTAATATGTACATTTCATTTCGTGAAATTTGTCGCTCACTCCTTTATGCAGAAGAATATGCCTACTAGCGTTACACTACCATGGTCGCTTTGAACTATTTTTTAACATTAATTGCAATCTGTCGAACCAATTTCGTAGCCTTTCAGTTCATGCATTTATTTATTACATTACTTAATAGTGACACATTAGTTCGTTTTCACGTACTTTACGCTTATTGTAACTTTCAGACTTACACAATGGAATAATGATAGGGATGCATTGATATCAAGTCCTGGACGTTAATCATTACATGACACGTATTCTGATGTGTCGGTTTGTATTAATTTCGTTAGTTACAGGTTTGGTCACAAGCTGACATAAGTTACAGAACCATAGAGTACTGGATAGCTGTCTCATTAATTTTGGGGCTTATGAAAAAGGCACAAACAGCGATGAAAATTTTCCTTTCCGACGATTCATTTTCATGAGCTTTACAATTGTAATTATATTTTCAAGTGTTGGTTTGTAGGGATTTGATTGATTTCAGGATTTCATCATGAGCTGACATTAGTTAGAGAACCATTGGAAAACCTGGGAGTACTGGACAGCTGTTTCGTCCTAGTTTGGGACTCTTCAGCAGTACGCACCCACCGCCACCGTTCGAACCCAGGACCTTCCGGTTACAAGGCGAGCTCGTATACCATTAAGCCACTGGGACCCGATCCAATGGTCCTTGAATTCTAACTTCTGCCAATTCACGACATAGCGCGACCGCTAGCCAATGTCTTCGGCGAGTATTTGTCCTCACACCCGACCAGCTGCACCCTACTGGTCACGACTTCCCACTGGAACCCAGGTAACTACCTACCTGAATAGGGCCAGTCGCCTGAAATCAATCAAATCCCTACAAACCAACACTTGAATACCAATAAGATGCTCACTGGCGACTGGCCCTATTCAGGTAGGTAGTTACCTGGGTTCCAGTGGGAAGTCGTGACCAGTAGGGTGCAGCTGGTCGGGTGTGGGGACAAATACTCGCCGAAGACATTGGCCAGCGGTCGCGCTATGTCGTGAATTGGCAGAAGTTAGAATTCAAGGACCATTGGATCGGGTCCCAGTGGCTTAATGGTATACGAGCTCGCCTTGTAACCGGAAGGTCCTGGGTTCGAATCCCGGTGGGTGCGTAATTATATTTATCAAAGAAATGTTTAGACCAATCAGATACTGGCAAACTTTGTCCTTGAAAAAATATATTGCATGATTTAAGGTGTAAGAAGGGCTAACTAATTGTAGGTAATAAAAGAGACAGATGTTAGCATGACGTAATAAGTGTGAGACAATGAGTAATCAATAAGCTCGTGTAGAATGGACAGGAACTAGTGGGAAGGCAATTAACTGTTTTTTTTTAAAATAAAATCTGTATAACAGCAATGTTATTAATAAACAGTAATAGAGGTAATAAAATTTGGCTGATGGGATCAATAATGATAATAAAAGTATTAATGACAATAAAAAAATAAAGTACTTACATAATGAAGGAAAGAAGCAAAATTGTAGTAAGAACTTTACTCTAGCCATAGTAGGGCGAGAGAATATATGTATCAATTTTGAATGCAGAGGTCCTGAAATATCTGTGCTGCCTTGTGACTCAGGTGCGTAGTTAGAAGCTTATGGTTTTGTCTCCTAAGAAAATTGTTTTTATAGTCTTCGCATTGGTGCAATATCTTAGTCGTTGCACGTATTAGTAAATGTGATGGTGAAGTGAAAATGACAAATATTTCGTGCACTCTCACAACTCATCCCATCTACTCCTTAGTGAACGGTATATTGAGACAATCAGTACACTCTTGTCATCCTATCTCGTACACCTGTGTTTCTTTTTTATCCATCTGTTTTCATGAATTACGTATGCCCAGCCATTGCCTTCCTCGACAACGGTCAATGTCAGCTGACATAGGATGGATCAGGTTGGAAAAGAGCCAGTAGTGGTCAAACCAAAACATGGCTTCAGTAATCAATGAAATCGTCAAAAGTTAGTTTAAGCCAACCAGCCAGCCACGTAGGGGGGTTTAGACTGCTGCCTGGTTGGGGTCCTCCGGACGGTAGAAACTAATGCAGGCTGGAGACAATTGGTGATATGGCTCAAAATCGTTCTCAATGGCTAGCGAAGATGCATTCATTCCTTGTGACTCATAACACTCAATAAAACTATCTTGTTCTTCGATATTACTATTCTTTTTGCCTCATGTCTCTGTTTACTGTCTGTGTTTTGCATTTCTCTTTTACTTTCTTCTGTTGCTTTGAGTGTTGAGTGAAGTGTGGCAACTTGAACTGTTGCACATCTGTGTAAAGTTCTATGTTGAAATAAGTCATCCGTTTTTAACTTTATATCTCAGCTCCATATCACTGTTTGAAATTTGAGTTTAATTCGTATGAGAATAGAACTTGTGCACTGTGGTGTAAAGTATAATTCCATTGTGGGTAAAATTTACTTTGATAAAGTCTCACAGTGTTACACAGCAATATTTACTGATGACGTTTTGAGCACAATTTATGACTCGTAATCACATCTAGTTTAGTTTCATTCAAGTGTTGTAAGTCAGTAAAGAGTTGTCCTGTCGGAAAGTTGCCTACTATAGTACGATTGACGTCTAACATGGCTACTGTGTTTTATTCCAACTAAAACGTTTGCAAATTAATAGTCAGTGACTTTACAGATTGGCGTGACTATTCTTAACGCCTCTCCCCCTATTTATAGATATTAATTGGGTTTTCTACCCATAATGATGCCATTTTTCAATATCAAGTTATGCAGTTAAAACCAGTGGACAGTTTTTTCAAATGGAATAAACTCACTAGTTAAAGATCAATAATTCTATTTTTTTAACAGCCTCTTAGTTTCATTATTAACAAAGCAATTTTGTAAGGGGAGAGATATTATTAAGTAAACAATAATCATAAGTTGTACATATATATATAATTCGCAAATGAACGATTACATGTGTAAATAAAATAAAGCTAACAAGGCTTGACAATGGGGATTTTTACGGATGTTTAGTATTCCTGCTTGCTTTTTTCTTTGTAAAATATTGATAAATCTTCCTGCCAGATTTCCATCTTTATTTTTAAATTTCTGTTGGTGCTGTGGAATAGAAGGAAAAGATTGTGGAAAATATTTTAGATATTGGTGTTTCTCAATGAAACAAATCTTAATATGTGATCATTGCCCTGAATTCGACTAGAATAGTTTTAAAACGTTTAGTCTAGTTTGTAACACTTACTTATTCTGGGATTATTTATTAGTATTTTATTTTACTGCTGTACATTCCCAGTGGAGCTTAGAGCTTTGAAGTCTCGGTAGAAGTGGTGTGTATATTTACGAGATTAATTAATTATGAAGATTATCCAAATCAATTTAAATTTTTTCCGTCGATTGATTGCACTGAAGTTCTCGGCCTTAGGTTGACATGTCGACTCCTTGTGTAGATGCTTCGACAATGTCTGTAACCTGAAGTCAATTGGTGATTGATGATTAGCAGTGGAAAGACCGTCACTCACTGGAGAATGCAGCTACATCACGATGACGATTCCCATATATAACGGAATCCGCATCCTTGATTCCACTACTAGTCACTATCCACTGATTGATTTCAAATTGTGAAGATTGTTAATTCTGGATATTGTTTTAGGAAATAGGCAAATAGGGATGATTCATTGGATTTGCCATCCGTCCAATCAAAACAGCTTAATGAATGTTTTGTCTTAGAATAATTTAACTACACTTGACATCTTAGTAAAAGATATATATATATATATATATATATATATATATATATATATATGAGTGGATTTAATGGGATCCCCGACTTATTCATTTGTTCATAATGTGGTACTGATTTATCAGTGTATGTTGATATAAAGGTGCCTCGATTTCGTCTATATTGATACTTATTTTATAGAGGCTGAATGTAGAATCAATGAAGTGCGTTTTGCTGTACTCGGGACTCACTGCTTTTATATATTTTTTAACTCGTTTCCAAAAGCGACAGACGCTAATAGTAGATAGTCGAAGGTAACCGGCAGGAATCCTTGAATCTAGGTCACGTGCTTTTTGGCACTCGTCATCAAGGCGCATCTGCAATCTTTATGGAATTCGTGTCATGAGAATGAAGATACATCTCGCCGACAAATGCCAAAAATCACGGAACCTATGTTCAAGATTTCCGGCCGATTACTTTCAACCATCTAATAACAACAATTCAGAGTGCAGCGTCATGGCGCGAGCCATCTAGCACAGTGTCTACACTGCAAACTTGACTCATGGAATTCAATCTGCACCAAACAAAGGACTGGACATTTGACACTAGTTATTAGCTAGTGTGCGATCTAAGATACTGACAGTTTTATTTCCATGGAGAGGTTGAAAATTCCACCTACCAAAGAAATGGTTATTCAGTATATTCTACGATTTCACAATATAACGCAATCCTATTGTTACCTAACTGCCACCTTACATAACTATGTCTTATTTCGAAACTATACATTCTTATCTCATAGAATTCCAGTTGAAGTATTCATAGATTACTAATTAATTTGAAAATTGTTTTTTTTTATTATTGATTGACATTGGTAGTTATATATTTGTGTATTGTAGAAGTTAATGTGAATTTTCTGAGGTAAGAAGTTCATGAAAATCAATGGAATTTCATCGTTTGCCTGAATACCTCTTTCACGACATGTGCTACTACTAATAGAGAGCAGCAACTCAATACTGCTTATACTGATAAGGATATATATATACATATATATTATCAATACCACTGACATACTTTCTGCTCTTATGGAATTAACCCTTGTTTCATGCTAAAAATTCCCGGGATATTAAAAATTATGAAGGTATGAAATAAGATGATGGAAGTATAAGCATTCAAGGAAAGTAAGATTTTGCAAGTAACAGTTATAGATAGGGTTTTTGAACTTACCATAATCAATAAGGTGGATAACTTTGAAAGTTTGATTAACATTTCGATATGACTGCATATCGACGTGGCATGTCAGTAGTTGCCAGTGATTTGTATTGGTCAGCTTTATGTTTGCTGTAGCGGTTGAAGTAATCAAACCTGTTAATCCATAATCATCAAAGATTATAAAATGGATTATACTCATTTCTTAAAAAAACAAAACAATGTAATTAATTCAAATATTTTCAGCGCCAGTCGTAGTCCATTCGCTTCAGCAACATTCAAAATCAATTGGAACTGTCTATGAATAAAAGAAATCCAAAGACATGACATTTAACCTGCACTGGGGTCGAATGTCTGGTATGATAATTACAGAACACAATCAATAATAATTCTGCTGAAGAAGTTGCGATTTACACAGAGGACTTTCAGAAAAATCTTGTCTTTGATTTTCTTAAACACGTCGGGATTATTTTAAATAATTTATAATGATTCAATCTGACTCCAAGAAATTCGTAGCATATACGGTCTGGAAACTTATAATACTTACAGTAATCCTGTGTCACAGAAACAATTCTAACCTTGGTATTGAAGGTCATGGAAACAAACTTGTTTACACTGTCAACTTTGATTGGGTGGAGGATCCCATCATGAGCTGACAACAGTTAGAGAACCACTGGAAAACCTGGGAGTACTGGACAGCTGTTTGTAACTCTTCATCAGCACGCACCCACCACCATGGTTCGAACCCGGGACCTTATGGTTACAAGGCGAGCTCGTGGACCCCTGAGCCACTGGGATCTGGGGTTCTAGTGAGAAGCCGTGACCATTAGGGTACAGCAGGTTGACGGTGAGGCAGTAACTCATCGAAGAAGACATTCCGAAATAGTCGAGCCATATCGTGAACTAGCAGAAGTTAGAATTCATTGCCAATTGTATCGCGTTCCAGTGGCTCAATGGTCTACGAGCTCGCCTTGTAACCAGAAGAGTCTGGGTTCGAACCATCGTGGTGAGTGCGTACTGATGAAGAGTCCCAAACTAGGACGAAACAGGTGTCCAGTACTCCCAGGTTTTCCAATGGTTCTCTAACCAATGTCAACTCATGATGAAATCCTCAATCCAATCAAACAAAATCCCTACAAGACCAATACTGTCAACTCTATGAATATCATGCAGTAATATAGCTGCAATTTTTTATGAAACCATTCATACTATACAGAGACAAGTAGTAAAATTCACAGTTCGAGTGGTGAAATTTCACTGTATTATCCTTGAGAAACCAAATTATTCAGATCGCTCGCAATATGTGATCTTCTTGTTACCATAATTGATATAATCAAGAAAGCAAGTATATTTACATATAACTACATTCTACTGATTGACTGAAGGGAATAATTGTATACCAGTCATAATATTGTGCATACCACTTATACACATTGCAATCTGAATCATTTGGCCTCTAACCGAATTTATTTGAAATAATTTATAACTGCAAGTATTATTTTTTTATGCATTGTTAACTTTATCTATATTGGGTATCTCTAAGGGGTGGGTAATAATCTGTTTAACCTCATTGTTAAGTGCATATTATTCACCAAAGCACATATATTAACAAAAAAGCACGAGTTATTGTGGTAGAATTAATGCAGTTACAAATATCTAGATTTGATAATATTGAAATACAAAGAGACTACGTAAACAGCACAACTAAACGCGTAACATATATAAACCACATAAGACTAAATAACAAGATTGTAACATGTCTGTTATACCATATACCCAATGCTCAAATTTTTTCAAACCGTTAAAAGTGAACTTGATTTAGAAATATATAACGTAACATGTCTGATTTAAAGTCATATGATAGTTTGAATATCCCTCACCAAAATTAATATCCAGCTATGATTTTCGTTTTTCACATATCTTGAGGAAACTAACAGTATGTGATATAAAATAACAGTAGTAATAATAATAATAATGGAAAAACACTGTAAAGAGAAGAGGGAAGGGAAAGAAAGCTATAAAAGTAAAATAAAAGTATGCTACCAAGGTAGATTTAAGCTAACTATTGTTTCCTTTTGTATACAGAGCTCCGGCATCTTTATTCTTATAGCGCAGGCATCAGTGAAACCAAGAGCATTTTTATTGCCTTAGTTGGTACTAAATATAAAGGTATTACTTAACGTCATCGTATGATTACAATCCAATAATTGTCGCATTGTTGAGGCAAAGTGGTACACTTTTCGTTCAGGAATGAACTGTATTTTCAAACACATGGCGTACCGATGGAAAGCTCATTAGCGCCCCCTGTTTACAACTACTTTTCTGGCAAGTTTATAATATGCATCCTAACATATATCAGGCGTATATGGCTTACATATAGTATGCAGAGATAAGGTCGAAGCACAGATAATATCGAAGAATTTAGTTCGTGCTGTGCTAGTGTGGTGGTGTGATACAAACAGTGTGTACCAACGGAACGTTATTCTCACATGTTCCCAGAGTTCAATACTGCGTTGGCAGCAGAATATGATGTATCTGTTTGAACATTCTATTTTTTGTCATTTGATGTAAAATGAAATCACATGTTCAGTGGTTGGTTAACGAATATAAACTGTAGATATATAAACAGCAGTTTGATTAATGAAAAATATAACTTGGCTTCCATGTCTTGCTTTCAGTTGTTACACTAGTATAGAATTTACAGTGGAGTATGGAGATGCTATATATATATATATATATATATATATATATATATATATATATATATATATATATATATATATATACCTACATCTCTTGGATGTTAACGGGTTAATAGAATTGTAGAGATATCGATTTATAGAAACCCAACTTGGACGGGACGATACATACATTTTGATAGCTTCGTTCCAAAGCAATACAAAAAAAATCTGGTTAGAACATTATACGATAGAGCAAAAAGAATATATCTAAGTAGCAGACCAGACCAAGAAGAGACATTTTCGGAGGAGACACCAGTGAGGAATGGGTATTCCGTAAGGTTCATAAAAAAGTATGCAGAAGATAAAAGGGTGACTAAACTATAGCAGTTCAAGGCGAAATACCTCGAGCGACCAATCAGATTTGTTGGAAGTAGAAGTGCACAATTTGAAATAAACGTCTATATACAAGAAATGCAATGTTAAAAAATGGCTACATAGGATAATATTCATGTACATGTTCGAGAAAAGCTTCCCAATTTCTCAAGGGAGTCGTCATAATCAGGTTAAACAAATTTCTGTGAACAAATTTGTCAAATTCCTCAATCCGTCGTTTACTAGGTAGTTTCGTTTTGAGCTGCCATAGTTTAGATTCACCTGCTTGGAGAAAGCAATAAAACTAAACTATTATGCAGCCGATATGTTGCTAACAAAAATAACAACGAGGATAGTTCCATTGTGGATAAGATTTATTTTGATAAAATCTCACAGTGTTATACAGTAATATTTACTGATTACGTTTTGAGCACAGTTAACTGCTCATAATCATATTAAGTTACTCACACAACTTTCCAATTGGTCTCTAACTGGTTTAAAACAGCATAAGGGAAACTCGACGGTAGGTATGGATAAATCTAACTACATAAAGGAAGTTACTGAACATATTGCAACGAGTCCATATGAGGAAATTAGCAAGCTTGTAAATACAATTATGAATAAGATTAAGAAATCTACGGCGGATTTGATAAGCAGAATGAAGCCGTCAGTGGGAGAGTCTAAAAGGTTTAATTTGATGCTACTAGAATATATAGTACTATAAAAATATATAAGCCAGGTTACCTCATAGGACCAATAGTAGGTTTCAGGAATACCCCTGCTTATGAATTGTCGAAACACTTCGCTCTCATATAGAAATCATTCAAACTCTAGGCTAACTCATCCATATGAAATGGAAAGTAATCTAAGCGACATTTAATTAGAGAATAGTGAAAAAAATAGTTAGTTTTGATTTACTAGTATACCAATCAATATGGCCTTAGAAGCAGTTAAAAGAGAACTAACTGCTGATCCCGGAACTAATCACAGCTACTCATTGAGGAAATTATTTCCGGAATTCAATTATGCCTCACATCTACTATCTTTAAATTCCAGGGCAAAATATACAGACAAACAGAGGGTGTAGCAATAGGATCACCAATATCCCCTATCGTAGCAGATATATTTATGGATAGCTGGGAAAATATTGCTCTAAATACATTTACTCCTACTTCAACAATATGGTGTGCGTCGGTGGCATAGCGGTTAGGACGATCGCCGACCATTCACATGGTCCGGGGTTTGATCCCCGGCCACCGACACACTCCTTTACCTCGCTAAACCAGAAATAATCCTAGTAAAGAGGGAAGGTTGGGCATGAGGCTAGCAACCCCATCCTGTAAAAATAATCACCACGGCTACAGAAACTTCAAGCGACTAGCTTGAAACCCTGTGTTCCACTGGGGAACGTGAAGGGAAAAAAATCAACAATATGGTGGATATATGTGAATGACACTTCCACAGTGTTAAAAACAGAACATATCTTTAACTTCTCGACACATAAACTCACTAGTACAGGGAATAAAATTCCCACTTGAATCAGAAAACGAACGAGGAGAATTAGCTATGTTAGATTGTAAAATAAAACAAATAGAATACGGTAAACTGCACACTAGTGTGTATAAAAAAACAGTGTATTCTAATAGATATTTAGACTTTAATTCATCTAATCTTCTATCTATCTATAAAGTCAGGCTTAGTTAAGTGTCTAACACACCCAGCAGTAGCACTAAGTAGTACAAGGAAAGACCTAAATGATGAAGTAAAACAGATAGATGGTGCGTTGGTGTTAAATAACAATCCTTTAAAATTCATTAGGAAGATCGAAAAAGGCCAAAAGAAAAGCAAAAGCAAAAATTATAGTGAAATTAATAATAACACAAATAAGGAAAAATATAAAGCATTTACAGTCTTACCATATAAGGAGGGGACATCTGAGACCATGCGTAGGATTCTCAATAAAGCAGGAATTAGGGTAGCATTTAAACCTACAAACCCACTGAGGGACAAGCTTTGTAGGTTAAAAGACCCTACTGAACCAATTAGACAAAATAATATTAAATACCTTGCAAAGACCGTCAGGTCAAACTAGCAGATTATGTGTTGTCAGAATTTAAGAATTGAATTAAGGTTAGAATGATTAATCCCACGAAGATAAGTAATTTAGAAAAAAGCTCAGCGATTGCACAGCAAGCATGAACACACAACCGCATAATAGGGTTGGAGAGGGTTAAAATTCTAAAGAGTGATCTAGGTAGGTGGAGAGAAAGGTTGATTACTGAATCCTTGTTCATTTAGTCTACACCCAACTCGTGCAAGAGGAGTGACTCATCACTGATATCGGAAATATGGAAAATACTACTACCAATCAAATCAAGCAATGAAAAATAATAGAATTACTTAAACGAAGTTGGAAAGTTATGTGATTAACTTGATATGATTATGAATAGTGATAAATTGTGTTCGAAAAGTCATCAGTAAATATAATACTGTATAACACTGTGAGACTTTATCAAAATAAATTTTATCCACATTGGAATTACACTCTACTACAGTGCACAACTTCTATTCTTATATCAATGGGGATAGTACAAGCAACAGGCCGAGATTAGACATCGATCCTCGCCATATCAGATTGTGTATATTAATTTACATGTGTTAGTGGAAGCAAATACACTCGACGCGGGGAAAGGTATCTTCTGTCTCGATTTGCCAAAAACTGTCACAAATAGCTTTCTAGTACTCATGATAGCATCCCAAGAAGCACAATCGCATGACATCTATTGAACTCTAATCATACAGGGACGTTAAGCAATACATTTATAGTTATTACGAACCAAGTTAATAAAAACGCTCTAGGTTTCACTGAAGCCTGGGCTGTCAGAAATAAAGAAGCCAGGTCTCTGTATACGAAAGGAGATAGTAGATAGCTTAAGTCTACCTTGGTGGCATACTTTTTTCCCGATTTCAGGCATTTCTTAGAAATGAACCCATCGCATTCGCATACCTAGCAAGATTAGTTACGAAAAGGAATACCTTTGAACACTGCTGACCAACAGCAGTATAATAATATATGAAGCGAATTGAATTTTACTGAGGATTTATGCCTGTTAGGCTGATGAACTTCTAGTCAATAACTGGCTACATTGAGTAACATATTCACCATGTCACACATGGATTCAACCCGATCTTGTAGAGCCGCAAAAATTATATGAAGCCATCGTTCTGTCTTTCCTCCACACTTTAACTTTTCTAGTATGTGGTGTTAACCGTCTCGAAATATCGATCAAATCACCAAATTGGATAATTTAGTGAAATAAATTTTAAACGTGTCTACAGTGATTTTTTCCACTGTTCATCTTTGTTTGACTGGTATATTCATCAAGTTCACATTCAGCGAAACGAATGTTTCTCAGTTTTCTTCAGCAGACCACATATTCCCTGCATTTTTACTTATTTGGTATTTTTTTATTTCCTTCACGTTCCCCAGTGGAACACAGGGTTTCAAGCTAGTGGCTTGAAGTTTCTGTAGCAATGGTGATTATTTTTACAGGATGGGGTTGCTAGCCTTTCCTCTTTACCAGGATTATTTCTGGTTTAGCGAGGTAAAGGAGTGCGTTGGTGGCCGGGGATCAAACCCCGGACCATTTGAATGGTCGGCGATCGTCCTAACCGCTATGCCACCGACGCTATTCGGTATTAGCATTCATCTATTTCGGCTGTTCCATTTTTTCAAGAGGAATCATAACCAACTGACTAACTCTTGTAAATGGGGATAACCAGTCAACATGTTCCTTTCTGCGAACAAGTAATTACAGAAAAGTATGATTCTTGGGGAGGAGGCACTGTATCCTTTTTTCTGTGCACCGAATGATGAAAGCCTAGGCTTAAATCCATATCCCATAAATCATAAGGAGTAAGCAAAACAATTTGTTTCCCTAATGAGCAATGTAAATACAAAAAATTACACCGACTAATCATTAGACTACTAATAAGTAACTAAAAACTATTTTATAAGATTCCCCGACACCTTTTATCAGCTTAATATTTTCATCAAGTTGTAAAACGAGGTGAAAGAAAATATTTTTTTTTCTGATGTCTTCGTGCCCAGTAGTACGTCTTATTTATAATAGTGGCAGCTAAATCATTGGAGTTTTTTCTTGATAAAACTTAATTTACTAATATTTCTTGTTGATAATTCACAGGAATTCCCTTTGCCAAATAGCTGAAATTATTCATTTTCTATATTAGTAATAATAACTTGAGTCTTTTTGAAGTGAAACTGTTGAAAGAGAGACTATGAAGAAATTCCCTAATGAGTTAATAAGTCATTCTATTTGACTACATCAATTAGCCATTTTCACTGGTTTACCGTGTTCATAGTTAATAGATTTTAGTCTATACATATTTCATATGGAAGCATTGGCGAAGATAACTATGAAAGTTACTATGAGTAAATCGTGACTTCGAAAATCAATAAAACTGCCAGAATAGTCCCTCCATTTCCAGACCAAAATATTCATCTTAGTAAAGGAAACAAGTGTATAATTGGATTTTAAGGTGAGGTCAACCGTGTTAAATGGATTAAATCGAACTATGACCTAAGGCAAATAAATATTTCTATTTCATTAGCTGACCATCTAGTTTATGTAGGTAAATGATTGCATTATTGTCACATCAAGCAAATCAGAGTATGACGCAATAAGTCAGTTTTTTTCCACAGGTTTTCCTACAAGTCATAGAATTTGAAAGAAAACAAACATAAGCAATAAAAATTGTGATTTATGTTAACTAACCTTCAACGTCGACTTTTTGTACAACACGAGCTTCAGGAATAGGAATTCCACCTAAATTCAAGCGAATCTGAGGTGTTGGTTTTCCTGCACGTGCTTTGCACTCAACATAAGTACGTTGACCAACCGAAAGAGAAGTTTCATTATCTATATATAACTGAAGTTCCCGGATAGGATCTGTTTAGGAAATCAAACATATTGGTAATCAGTATTAACCTTCCTGTACAGTTCAACTGGTTTCAAAAAGATTGAGATTTTGATAACTTGATGATCAGAGAATAGCCTTTTAGTTACATTTATTTACTCGTTTATTAGTTTCAGTAAAATGCTCATTATGTAACTCCTGGCTTATTATTGATCGGTGATCCTGGAGATATATAGACATTTTTGAAAATGTACTTACTTACATATAAAAGAAGGGAAATAATAATGCAATTCATTTTTACGCATAGGATAAAAGTTGTAATGCAGTAATAAGTAAACGTGAGAGTATCCTTCGCAATAAAGATTTCATCAGGAGTCGAGATCAGTTGGAAAGTCACCGGAAACGAAGAAGCACTGGACAACTGTTTCTCTTTAGTTCAGGACTTTACAGTGATGTGTACCAATGATTTCGCTAGATGTCAAACCTAGGACACTCAAGTTTCGAGGTGATCCTCAGTTGAAAATTAATAATCGGTGGGTTTTAACTTCTATAGATCCGCGGTGTAACTCTATTGTCAGATAATCCCATTGATATGCATCCTCTTCACAGCCAGGAATTCTCATCTTGTCGCGACTGATCATTAGGAGATCTAAGTTGAAAATGATCAAAAGCCTTACAAATTCACAGTCTAAAATATGATAGTAGGGTACACAATATGTCTTTTTTATTCATTGAGAAGAAGCTTAAAGTGAAGAGTGACACGGATTTACTAGGAAAACGAAAATTTGGATGAATCGCCATGCAAATCAGATAAAAAGATGAAAGTTTACCGACAACAGATTTAGTGTATAAGAGATTGTTTTACTGTAGCACATGATCACTATTGATTCTCTCAGTTTCTACATATCTAACAGTCAATATATTTTGCAGCATTGATTATTTATGTGTTGATGTAGTCATATTTGTTTTCACAGTACCTCGTTGGATTTGTTGTCTCAATGTAAATTATTTTTTTTTTACTTAAGACGTCAGATATTTTTTTTTACATCACTAAGAGCTTGGCGATATATAGTTTACTTAGCTCAAGTTAAGTAAGAAAAAAAGAGTGTGTAATTTGAGTCTAACAATCTGGAAATAATTCTCTAGTCTTACCATATACTGTGTATGTAATTCATTGAATAAAAAAGTGGATATAAAACAAAGAAATTAATACTTCCCAGCCTGATTATTGACTTATTTGGCTGATTAACAAACTGTGTAGTCAAACAAATTGATGCTTCGATAATACCTGTACACGTATGATCGACAAATAGATCAGAAACTAGGTTATAATGAGATTTTATCAAATACGCTGTTAGCAAATAAGAAAGAATGCATTTCAGTATATCCAGTGAGTTTTCCGTACTTCAGTTGACTAGATAATATAAGAAAAAAACTTTAGCATTATATAATTTTCATCATTATTAGTGGACAGTGTTCTCATAACATCAAGTAAAGTAAAACTTCAGGGAAATATTCAAAGAGATAGCGGAAAACGTTACTGCTGATCTATACAAATTATAAATGATGTTCGACTCGACTAGGGATAGGTACTAGTTTCATTACAGTAAATAATATTACTACTCAGAAGCAAAATGTTTAATAAATTGTTTCAGACAATAATTTCCATGCATAAATTTGATCAGAGATAGAACAAACATTGATGTAGAATAATATGGATCTTTTTTACTTTATGGGTTCTCGTCACCTGCGTATAACATTTTGTTTATCATCAGCCTTACATTTGGTTTCACTATGACTTTCTAATAACAATCCTTACTGGAGGACTGGTTCTTAATGATAAACAAAATGTTGTACTCAGATGATGAGAGCCGAAGAAGGCAACAGTAAAGAATAGACACCAACTTTAGACGACCTTGAAACAGCCAATCAGATTCTTCTAGGTGAAAAGTGGTACCTTATTTACAAAGAAGTGTATCTACGATATATATATGTAATAAAAATGAATCATATATTGTTATATCTCTAATGTGCTGCAAAAACTGGTCCCACATTCTCACAGAAGTGGTTATAAACATATAAAACCAATGTATTTCCTATTTCTCCAGCTGTAGCAGATACTGGTTGCATATACGTAATATATTACTAACGAAAAGCTTTGATTTCGAGAAGAAAGTGTCTAAAACATCACCAGTAATGTACTACTTACCAACTCTTACGGACTTCCTTATATAAAGTGGTTGCATCTGAATGCATAACCATCAATAGCCTGGCAATACTTTTTCCTGATCATTATCCCTCCACACATGCATGTTTTATTCTATTATATCAAATATAGGAGACATTTTCAACGAGGATTATGACTAGCAACCATTCGTAATGCTAAGCTGTCTGATTGGTCAAGTCAAAGTCATTTGACTTTGGTGTCTATTGTTTACTCTTGCCCCGAAGAAATAGAATTGATCCATATTATTCTGCACCAATGCTTGTCCTATCTCTGTTCGAAGAAATGACTGTTCTTCTTCTATGCACAATATATGCAGAAATCTTTTCTTGACATAACTACTCATCAATTAGGTTAGTAATGGTAAACTTTAATCAACACACTTATGGTTATTCCAGAGAAAGAAATATCTGCCAATGCATAAAACTCCTTTGGGTTACGAAGAACCCAGAATATACCATATAAATCATAACAGCCGTTGAAATATCTGGCGGACCGTCACTACATTGGCATAACAATGAACGTTGCTTTTCATTGTTGTTTGTAACCAACGTCATCTATGAGCTAAACAAGATATAATAATATGTAGAAGTGAATACAAATCATTCTTAAGGTTACTCCATATACTACTGATAATACTTGAACTGATTCACATTAAAAATTACTTTCCATTTATTTGAAATACAAACATCTTAAAATGTCAGATCCTTTATACTACTAATACATGAAGTGATTTTGTTTAGCATCACATTATGAGAAATAATGTGAAATTCTTTGTGAGATTATCTCATAGTGACGTGGTACTTTTGATGCTCTATACGTCTTATAGGTAGGATAATTTTGGTTGTCTGCACCCTGTAGACATTATCTTCCTAAGCTTGCAATCGCGCTTGTGGAGCGAGTTATATTGACCGTTTCTCTAGGAACTTGATTTTTCGTGCCATCTCGGGAACATTTAACAGTGTGGCTGAGTAAAAGTGTAGTAAAATCCACCAACAGTTCGATATTAGACCACAAAGCCAGCATTGGAAAATCCTTCCCTATCATCTACCGCGTACTAAATAAATTCCGAAAAACATCCAGGTACGACATACTCCAAACAACAGAGGCTATCGCGATTCGCCTTAAACAACCGGTGCTCTGTGTCCGGAAGAAGCAAGTCCAGCCATTACTATTGCCTTGGCCTTCAGTGGAGATTATAAATTCATGAATTTGTATTATTATTTTTCCTAATTTTTCTGATATTCATTCAGTGTATTGTTATGTTGATTCTACCGAACTGTAATCCATTGATATTATTATTATTATTACTGATTCGATATTATTTAAACAACATTAATGTTATCATTCACTATGATGTATATATAACTGTAGAACCTGTTGATGAAGTTGTCGAAAAGAATATTCTTTGTTCAGCAACCATTCTTTTGAAAAAAAAATGTTAATGGGCATTTTTAATCAGTTAAAATGTATAATCAACAAAAATAGATTTAAGTGATGGTTTTTAGGGATTTGATTGGTTTCAGGATTTCATCATGAGCTGACATTAGTTAGAGAACCCTTGGAAAACCTGGGAATACTGGACAGCGGTTTCGTCCTAGTTTGGGACTCTTTAGCAGTACGCACCCACCGGGATTCGAACCCAGGACCTTCTGGTCGCTTGAAGTTTCTGTAGCAGTGGTGATTATTTTTACAGGATGGGGTTGCTAGCCTCATGCCCAACCTTTCCTCTTTACCAGAATTATTTCTGGTTTAGCGAGGTAAAGGAGTGTGTCGGTGGCCGGGGATCAAACTCCGGACCATGTGAATGGTCGGCGATCGCCCTAACCTCTGCGCGGCACCGACGCGTCCTGAAGCATAGACTAATCCCTTATGTGATATTTTCCCTTCGTCTCCTCAAAGTCCCCACCGATACTTTGAAAGTCAATTGAAAATGTGTGTTAAGTACATTTTGAGACTGAAGGATATAACTGAATGGTTAAAGCAACAAGAATTAGAGAAAATATGAAGCACTGTGTTAGGTAGCCGAGTGATTCAAGTAGGCCACCACAGAAGACGAATTTCTGGATTGACTTACTTGCGACAAGAACATAAGCAGAAGCTGATTCACTTTCAGAATCCGGATGAATAGTTTTACACTTGTATTCACCAGTATCAGCAAAGTCTATATTGGAAACAATAAGTTCACACATAGCCATCATTTTAGCAGAGTATCGTCCAATAATAACTTTAAATTTTGGATCATTAAAATTTCTGGTAGTTGTGTTGGTTTGAAACAGACAGCTGCCAATTTTATTCTAATCAAAGAATTACAGTAAAACAAAAAGGATAGTGTAAGTAATCTGCACAGTGACTTTAAATACTGTCTACCTTATTCGACTTATATTTTGAAATTAAACTTAGCCATCTTTAAAGTGGTCATTAAAACGATCATGTTTACTACTCATTTTGTCTATTACTGTGACGCTAGCTATGTTAAAGCATACCCCTATATTTACCAACTTCAGTGAACAAGTTCTGCTATTCTGTGACAGTAAATGTTTTTCAGTAGTCAATATCTGGTCAACAAACTTCAGTGGAAAACATAAAATTACATCTTGTTCGTTTCGTGCTAATACATGTGGCTTACTGCGTCAGAAATGCTTCGTCTTCATATCCTATTGGTACTCATTCAAACTGGTGTATTTTGAGGCTATGCTTTAACGTGTTGTTGTACACATTTGAAGATTCCATTTTACGTTACCTTACACTCTACAGTTTTAAATCATGTATTCTGCAGCGGGCAATGAGGAAATAGGCATAAAATGGACCCACACAAAGAACTTGGAGGATCTGGACTTCGCCGATGATATATGTCTGATTTCCCACAAACTGGAAGATATCCAAGTGAAAAGCAACAAGTTGGCAAAGAAGCATCCAGAGAAGATAGGCTTCAGGTGAACATAGAAAAAACAGAGGTGATGAAGATTCCAGGCCAACACCAACAGCAACAACAACAACAGACAACAATCAGCCAGTATAAATGGGGGAACCTGAAAGAAATAACCTCCTTCACCTACCTGGGAAGCATCGTTTCAACTACAGGTGGACGAAACTGACGAGGATATCAAAGCCAGAATCGGAAAAGCAAGACAAGCTTTCATTACTCTCAAGTCTGTGTAGAGGTCAACAGTACTCACCATCAAAAATAGGATCCGGATTTTCAACTTCAATGTGAAGTCAGTGCCACTTACTATACGGATCATAGACCTGGCACGTCATAAAGAGCATCTCAAACAAACTTCAGACCTTCATTAACAGCTGTCTTCGCTCAATACTCAAGATCAGATGGCTGGCCAGAAAAGATCAGCAACAGGGATCTCTGGGAGAGAACCAACCAGGAACTGATTGTGCAACAAATAGTCAGGAAGAAATGGAGATGGATTGGCCATACTCTGAGAAAACAGACCATCAAGTGACATCACTAGGCAAGCCATTGCTCGAGTGGAACCCGAAATGGAAGCGGCGAGTTGGTCGTCAATGTGAGGGTGACTTAGAGGAGGTCATGTAAAGAGGATAGGAAAACATGTGGGCAGACGTGGAGCCAGGTGAAAAAGTTGGCAGAGAACCTAACGCAATGGAGATGCGCGGCTGAAGGCCTATGTTCCACTAGGAATTAAAGGAAATAATAATAATTCTGCAGTCTGATACTTCCGTTACTACAGAGAGAGAGAGAGAGAGATAGTTGGTAAATCTTACATTTAAGAAAATTGTTAAGCTTAAAATTCAATCATCAAAAGAGACCTATAAAACTTACAGTATTCAAATACCACTCAATGAAAACAGGTGTATTGATAACACTGCATGAATGTTGTATTGTATCTCCAATACGTGTAATCTGATTTGTAGGACGAAGTACAAAATTACCTACAAATAAAAAATTTCAAGTACAGATTATAATGCTTCAGAATTAAAATGGACAAAGTACACATAAACACTGATAAAATTTTTCATAGCCTAACACGAATTAACTGAATCATATCGACTATGCATGTGTAAAGTCTATAACACGCATTCATTAAAATACAAAGTATGATACTTGGATTACTCTAGAGTTAAAATTCCATTGCTTAAAAAATATTGTTCTGTATTTATTTTTAGTATTTTAATTTCAAAGGAAATAGATTTTAATTTAATTTTATAAAATTTTCATGGAACTACGTCAGTCATGTAATCAAAATCAAAATTCAAAGGACAGCAAATTTACTACGATTTACCGAAGCGATCGCAATCAAACGATTTAAACCAGACTTATGCATACAGAAAGAGAGTGTGATTAACGTCTCACTCCCTGGGTAACTGAATTTTGATTTTGATTACATTAATTAGTCATCTAATTCAGCGATCTCAACTCACTCAACAATTCTAAGTCTCATAAACTGTAACTGCTTTTGTTTTTTGAGTTACTATGTGAACCTACAAGCTAACACTGTTCTGTTAATCAATTTTCTGTTTTCTGTCTTACCCCTCCCCCCTATTTTCAACTTTAAAAGTGTATAAATTGATGATGAAAACTTAAACTAAAGACTGTAATGCTTTCATTTTGGATGCGTCAATTTTATAGTATCTCTCTCTTCTCTACTACCACTCAAACATTAAAGTATGTCATTATCATCTATATAGCCTTTGTAATTTCAGGTAGTCTGCAGCTGATGAGAACCTTTGAAATAGAATGATATCATTTTATACTGCAAATTTCGTCTTCCTTTCTTTAATAAAAAGATTTTTCTTTAAAATGAGGGAAATAAATACATGTTACAATATTCAATGAATACTAGATTACAGTTATGATTCTGACTAGGAATTTGTTTGACCGGAAAGTAGTACGCATTTTGATCTCATTCCAATATTATCATATCATATCGTGATCTATTTAAAGACTTTAGATTATTTGACAAAAAGAACTTTGAACATTTTATTGAGATACATTAGCCTCTCTGATTTTTCTCCTAATATTAGGTAAAATAAAAAACATATTTCATTCAAGTTTTGCTTAATTTAATAACATGTTTTAGAATTATAATACCAATTATCTTACTAGGTATTGCTTCACATTTATATCACATAAACAGGTCATCATTGTTTGTTCAAAATCCAGCAAATGTTTCTTTGTTGTTGTTGTTTTCTTAGAGCGATAACTATGTTCAATAGGTTGTTACTCATTATATCTTGTCCTTCCACGGTAAGTATACGCATTGCTGACAAGAGCCGATAAGCGCGAAACCCAGGCTTTTTCCACAGGCACTTTATTCTGTTAGTAATTTTTTTAATTTACCAGTCAAACATCCGGACACATATTATTCAAACGCCTAACTGCTGTTGTACATTTGCTAAAATCTTAGGGTTAGTGTGCCTGTGTTCTCATCGTATCCTTTCTCACTTTACAATCTAAAGTACTTATCCCACGTTTTCCTCTTTTAATCTAAATGTGTACTGATTGTGAGTGTAAATACTTCACTATTTCACAACAGTTTATTAGTCTTATACATATCACCACAATACAATGGGTGTAGGAAGTAAATGTTTTGGGGATTATATTATTTCCAACTATCTGTAAATGTAATTACCACAACTGGAAAAACCGGTGGTCAAATGCAGTACAAAAAGCACCAACAACGGATATCTCTCTAGAATGAAACAATGTACACTTTTTAGTAATTCTACCACCAAATTCACAACAGAATGTTTTCGATTATTTAAACAAAACAGATCTGTTTATTTCCACATGCAGGTGACTCATATTTTTCCAGGAATTTGCAAAATTACTTTATCCTGTGGTACATATTATCATTTTTCTTACAAATTGTAAAAATTAGAAAAGTGAAACGTTTTATTATATCCTTGCTAACTCTATTACCAACCGAATTCCATAATTTAAACAAGCCTCCCAATCTGCTATTGACCTCTTCTGTTTGAAAATTCAAATTTTGTTTGTTTGTTGTATTATTGTTTACCTTGACAACTGGAATACGCGTTTCCAGATAAGCATCAGATAGCATGTGTCAAGTATGCTGCTAATTCCTTGTAAACATTTTTGTTTAAAAGCCGAATATATTTATTAACATGTTTATTAATTTCGACATATAGTATCAGTGAATTATAAGCTACTAGCTTTATTGTTTATGATAAATAAAATTATCTTGAATGCAGACATGAACTATTGTCTGGAAAAAATATACATTAAAATGTTTAGCAAGTATCACATATGAACAGCCGAAGTCGGTCTAGTATTCGACTGTAGTAAATTTACTTTTTTAAATGTTACTTAAAAGTATGGATGATCGTCTACTACTAACACCTTTTGTTTTTGATATCTGAGGTTTTAAAATGTTCACGATTCATAAAGAGATAGTAGACAAGATTATTGTATTACATGGAAACATAAGACTTGTAAAATGCTAAAATTACTTTGAGAAAAAAACTTGTGCACTGTGGTAGAGTATAATTCCATTATGGGTAAATTTTGTTTTGATAAAGTCTCACAGTGTTATACAGTAATGTTAACTGATGAGGTTTCGAGCACAATTTATTGCTCATAATCATATCAAGGTAATCACACGACTTCCTAACTTCATTTATATAGTTCCATTATTTTTCACTTGATTTTCACTTGATCTGATTGGTAGTAGTATCTTCCATATTTCGGGTATGAGTGACGAGTCATTCCTATTGCATGTGTTGGGTGTAGACTAGATGAGCGAGGATTCAGTAATCAACCTCTCTCTCCACCTACCTAGATTACTTTTTAGAATTTTAACCCTCTCCCACCCTATTGTGTGGTTGTGTGTTAATGCATGCATCGCAATTGCTGAGCTTTTTTCTAAATTACTTATCTTCTCCGGGTCAACCATTCTTACCTTATTATAAATTATTTAAATTAATCCCAGCGTGTTAAGAAAATCAAAACAAGATTTTTCTGGACGTTTCGCTGTGTAAGCTGCAGCTTCTTCAGCCGATCTGTTTGGATTTTTATTAATCATCAAAAGAAGCTGTGGCTTACACAGCGAAACGTTCAGAAAAATCTTGTTTTGATTTTTTTAACACGCTGAGATTAATTTGAATAATTTATAATGAATCAATTTGACACGGCACTCAAATTATTCCAGGAAGTTCGTAACACCTACGGTCTCCATTCTTACCTTAGCTGAATTCTTATGTTTTGACAATCTGACTATCCCTGACCTACTAGTTTGACCTATGTAGTTGACCTCACAATCGTTGCAGGGTATTTTGTAAATTGTTATTTTGTCTAATTGGGTCCACCGGGTCTTTTAACCTACAGAGCTTGTCTCTGAGTGAGTTTGTAGGTTTAAATGCCACCCTAATTCCTGCTTTATTTAGAATCCTACGTGGGGTTTCGCATGTCCTCTCTTTATATGGTATAAAAGTGGATGTTATCATTACTAGTTTCACAATTATTTTTTTCTTTTGGCCTTTTTCGATCTTCCTAATGAATTTTAAAGGATTGTTATTTAACACCAACGCCTCTTCTATCTGTTTTATTTCATCATTTAGGTCTTTTTTGTGCTACTTAATGCCACTGCTCGGTTTGTTAAACACTTAACTAAGCCCGCCTTAAACAGTTAACGGATGGGACGAATTAAAGTCTAAACATCTACTAGAGTGAGGTGGTCTTCTGTACACACTAGTGTGCAGTTTACCGTATTCTATTCGTTTTATTTTACAATCTAACATAGCTAATTCTCCTTGTTCATTTTCCGCTTCAAATGTGAATTTTATTCCCTCTACTAGTGAGTTTATTATATGTGTCAAGTAGTTGGAGATATGTTGTGTTTGTAATACTGTGAAAGTGTCATTCACATATCTCCACCATATTTTTGAAGTAGGAGTAAATGTATTTAGAGCCCTGTTTTCCCAGCTGTCCATAAATATGTCTGCTACGATAGGGGATATTGGTAATCCCTTTGCTACACCTTCAGTTTGTCTATATATTTTGTTTTGGAATTTAAAGTTAGTAGATGTGAGGTATAACTGAATTCCTAAAATAATTTCTTCAATGGGTAGCTTCATCCTATAAGTGAGTACAGGATCTTCAGTTATTTCTTTTTTAACTGCTTCTAAGTCCATATTGATTGGTATGCTAGTATAAAGACTAGTTATATCAAAACTAACCACTGTTTGATCATTCCCTGGTTGAATGTCATTTAGTTTATTTTTCATCTCAAATGAATTAGCTAGTCTATAGTTTGAGCGATTTCTAATGGGGCATAATATTAGAGCTAAGTGTGAACAAGAATGGTAAGCTACGAGGAGGGCGTCCTACAGTAGCATACATGAAAGCATATGAAGGGGAAATAAAAGCTTGTGAACAGTTGTAAATTCAGTTGAAGGTGATGTCAAAGAAGCAAGTGTAGTAAATATGTACCGTTCTATCTTCCACATAGAATACAAGGAATGAATAATAATAATACAGTTCCCAGTTATGATATCAAAGGAAATTAAGCAGTTAGATTTTAAAAAATGTTGTGAAAACAGCTAATCTAATGAGAAAAAAAATATCTTTCAGTTTATGTGGTAATATTAGAATAACAGATTTCAAGGTGAATGTTAAAATCTTACAAAGCTTAAGAGTATTTCGAAATATAGGACTGATTTCAGTGAGCTGTATGAGTCGAAACTGTTAGAACATTAGAGGCTAGCCACCCAACCAACCTCCTCTTTTCCGAGATTCTTGTCGGCTATTAACTAGACTAGGTGTCACAGTGAGTCAGTTGGGAATCGAGTCCAGACCATCCACTTGGCTGGCGAACATTCTACTACTGAACAAGTATTTATTATTTATTGAAAAATCCGAATTTTCCTCTGATACCGGTTCTGCAAGGGGCGATTCTGGTGGTTCAGAAGCCTAGTGAATGACTCATTAGCATTTGGAACGACGGCCACTAGATCTAAGTCATAGTTGTAATACTGTGATGCAGGTATAACCAGCAAATATATACTCCAAAATCGAACTGAACAAACTTCCTAGATTCAGCTACAGGGCAACACCTATCATATAACATTAACGTTGACTGATAGTAATTTTCCGGGCCCAAGTTGAATCACTTTGAGCAATAACAATGTTGATAGAAAAATACTATTTAAGTGAAGGCTTAAAGGAAAATATATTCATATAAGGTAACGTCATGCAAATTATTAGAGCTCAAAGGGAAATAATAAACTACTATTGTCCTAAAATAATAACAAGCTCATTGACTTATGATAACAAGTGTATAGCAAATTACCAATCAAAGCATAATTTAGAGGTACAAAAAAAACGATGATGCTTTGGATTGAGTAGACGAATAACAGATTCTTACTTTTAGTATTGATCAGTGATACGATCACAAGCAGAAGTGAATGTAAGTAGTACATGATTCTCATGGAAATATGAATTATTGATGTATTCGTAGGTGGAGTGCACTAATTCGAAACAATGTATAAAATGGTATTTATTATAATCTTATCCCTTTTTCTAGTCGCATGTATCCTAGTAACTTAGGGACACCATGGTGATGTGATATAACACCTAATTATCAATGATTTGTTAACATAAACTAAAAGATGTCGATAAAATGTTTGTAATAAGTCATTATGATTGGATTATAATGAAAAGCAGAGAACACAAAGACTAATCGAAATAATGAATATCTGCAATGCAAATAAGAGTTCAGTGTATTTTGTTGTGGATAATCCCTTTTTTCATGCAAATTAGCAAGACTATATGAATGCATAGTCCAATACAAGTTAACACAATGATAAATTTCAGTTACCATATAAATAAATAAATGACTCATAAATATGTTTTTTTTTCTTTAAATTTAACTGTCCATACAAATTATTCGAATTTTAATTATATTGTCTTATTTTCAATAGTTTGGTTTGTAAGGGTTAGTTTTGATTTTACGAGTTGATCACGGATTGATATCAGTTAGAGAAACATTGGAAACCAGGAAGTACTGGACAGCTGCTGTTTCATCCTAGTTTGGGAATCATCGGTAGTACGCAACCAGTGAGGTCCATTTAGGTGTAACTTGAGTAGATGAATGTCCCACCAACGATAATGGTCGGTGTGGCGCTAAATCACGAATTGGTAGAAGTTAGAATTCATGGGCTGGCCGTTGAATCTGGTCCCAGTTGCTGAATGGTATACGAGCTTGCCTTGTAACGGGAAAGTCCTGGGTTTGAACCCTGGTGGTGGGTGCGTACTGACGATGATTCCCAAACTACGATGAAAGAGCAACTGTCCAGTACTCCAGTGCTGGTTTTCCATGGTTCTCTAACTGATATCAATCCGTGATCAACTCGTAAAAAATATTGTCTTATGTATATTTTCTCTAAGTGTAAGACGGTGTTCTCATTGTATTTCCTTGTCAGTCACTGAGTGTAAACATTTTTTCAATGAGTGTCAAAATGCTTACATACTATTCTTCTAGTTTATTTCTCAAGGTTTTGCAATTGTCTTAGTGGTCCAATTGGACTTTGTTCATGCATCATTTGGCAAAGTTCCTAAGTTGAAGTGGTTACTGACTGAAAGGATTGTCAAAATACACACTTGTGTTAAGTTTATTTATAACACGCTGGTGAGACTATTGAGTGATTTCCTGTGCCAAGCACTCAAGTGGAAACTGAATGGGAAACGGCGAGTTGATGATGGATCCGAAGGTGATATGGAGTAGAATGTGTGAGGAAGAGATGATAGCTTATAGAAAGTCATGGAGTCAGTTGAAGAGGACTGAAGAGAACAGGATGAAATGGGGATATTCTGTTGAAACCCTATATTACACTCGGAACTCAAGGGAATAATAATAATAGTAAAAATAATGATCACTAGAAAATCATCGAATCAAGTTTTATACTGTCTCTTTCGTAATAAATATATTAATGTAATATAAAATTACAAAATTGTAAATTAGCTTACACAAATGTGACATCACATGCATAAGTCCGCGTGGCAGAAAGACACTTACGTGTTATAACGGAGTGTGGTCTACACGTGAATCTGTTGTAGAAATCATTTTTATTTCGGAACATTCTCAAAATAGGAAGGCTATTTTTCATGGGATGGGATCTCAATATTTCCTTTAGAGGACTTCCTTATGCATGTATAACTTTCATAGATTTACGAAAAGTGAACATGCAAGAATTGATGACAGTTCACTATTAATCAGTTCAGGTAAGGCTTTGATGTAGAAACGTAGAAATCAAATTAGTTACGGAAACGTGATTCTGGTTGTAGAAAAATTACTCTAATCTGTAGGTAAAACATAAGATGGAGATAAATCTATAATACATTATAAATTGCATGGAGGATTTCTCCATGAGCTGACATTGGTTTGAGAACCATTGGAAAACCTGAGAGTACCGGACAGGTGTTTCGTCCTAGTTTGCAACTCTTCACAGTACGCACCCACCACCACGTTTTGAATCCAGGACCTTCTGGTTACAAGACGAGCTCGTAAACCATTAAGCCACTGGGACCCTATCCAAAGGGCCTTGAATTCGCGCTATGTCGTGAATTGGCAGAAGTTAGAATTCACGGGCCATTGAATCGGGTCCCAGTGGCTCAATCATCCACGAGCTCGTCTCGTAACCAGAAGGTCCTGGTTTCGAATAGTGGTGATGGGTGCATACTGTGAAGAGTCCCAAACTAGGATGAAACAGGTTTCCATTACTCCCAGGTTTTCCAATGGTTCTCTAACCAATGTCAGCTCATGATGAAATCCTCCATCCAATCAGACAAAATCCCTACAAAACCAATACTAGAACATTATAAATTATTTAAAGTAATCCCAGAGTGTTTTAGAAGAAATCAAAACAAGATTTTTCTGAACGTCTCGGTGTGTAAGCCACAGCCTCTTCAGCAGAATTATTCGGATTTTAATTAATCATCGAAATATAGATGATAGCCATTCGATATCGAAAGGACACAGCTGAACAACTTCAGAGACTATTTGCTTTATATAATATTAAAGTCTATTTCAAGCCCTGTAATTCTCTAGAGAAAGCTTTGGTGAATATCAAAGATATGGTTCCCAAAATGTCATAAATTAATTGTGTATATAGGATAAACTGTTCAGAATGTGAAGCTTGCTATATAGGGGAGAGCAGTAGACAGGTGAAGGTGAGAGTGGATGAACTTAGACTGTGTGCGAAACGTCTGCTTAGAAATGAAGTAGAATTAAAAAGTCTAGAGAAAAGATCGTCTGTAGCAATGTATGCGATAGACAGTGGACATAACATTGATTTTGACAATGTAGAAATTCTTGGAAAATGATTTCATTCACATAAACAAAGGTTGACCTCTGAAGCTTTGCACATTTTAACTACATAGAATGCAGTAAATGGGTGAGAAGAGATAGACTTGTTTTATTAGACTTTTCACTTATATGGCAAAGTCTAATGTAGCGAGACAGATGAAAAACACACAACAAAAACCTCTGTGAACCTCCTTGACATTTATAAAAATGTATTATTATTATATATATCCAAACCAAGTTGGTTTGAACGATCTTCATTGTTATTTTGACTTTCAATATGTCCTTTTAAGTTGAACTAAGTCTATATTTTTCTCACCCCCTAATTCTTTGTTATATATATGCTGATATTTTGTAAATTCCGGTTTAATAATACTTTGAGAAAGCTATTAGCATTAAATAGCGAAACGTCAGTAGAAACAATCTCGTTTTGTTTTTTCATTCATTGGGAAATACAAAAAAACCTCTATTATAATGAATGTATTATTATGTTTATCACATGTGAGTTGACTTCTTTTCATATGACAAATGAGATACACTCACACTCATACTTATATAGAAAAATATACAAAATAATAATTTGACATTAGGCATTACAAATATATGATAACTGCTTACATATTTCTATTAGTACAAATGTCTATCGGCAAGTAGCCTTAAAATGAACTGACTTCAATTTATGTAAAAAAATTTTTGGCTTTATATTTTGATTATTAATAAAATCCAAATTATTCTGCTGAAGAAGCTGTGGCTTACACAGCGAAACGTTCTCAAAAATCTTGACTTGATTTTTTCTTAAACACGCTGGAATTAATTTAAATAATTTATGATGGACCAATCTGACTTGACGTTCAAATTATTCCAGGAAGTTCATAACATCTACGGTCTGTAAACTTATAAATCTATAACAGTTGAGAATCGGTTGAATGGATAGCTTATAGAGCTGTTGAAAGAAAGATGCAGTGACGTAAAATGATAGGGCTCACGTCCACCATCTATGTAAAGGCAGCTGAAACTTCCTAAATTCGATTCATTTTTCCTATATTGATGTGCGTTGGTAGTTCAGTGATAAAATACTTTCCAGCTAAGGACGTGGTCTGGCCGAAGCACTTCTTCTAGGAATGCTAAGGAATGAAATCTGATATATTCTGCAATTAAATCTCCTTATTAAAAATCATAAAAGACTTATATATACTGGAGAAGATGTGTAGCTCATTTGGATGATCATACTGTGATCAAAACCGTATGGCTGTTAGAAGCCATTGAAATCCCCTCTCTCTAATATTTGTGCTGTAAACTTTTAAAAAATAAGGCTGCTGTAAGGTATGTTGGTAATGCTGTTATTGTATTCTATAATCTTGGTTATGTATATACTTGACTGCAAGAAATTAATAAAAATCACTTGAATATCAATCTGACGATGACACAAGAACACCAAGAAAATAATGAGACTTATTTATTATTACGATACCTTTGAGTTACGAGTGTAGCATAGAGCTTCAACAAAAAATCCCCATTTCACCCTGTTCCCTGCAGTACTCTTCAACTGGCTCCACACCTGTCTATAAGCTTTCATCTCCTCCTCACACGATCTCTCCTACGTCATCCTCGAATCCATTCTCAACTCACAGTTTTCCATCCGGCTTCCACTGGTGAGCTTGGCACAAAATGTCACTCAATGGTCTCTTCAGCGTGTATTCGACCCACCTCCGTTTCCTTCTCCATATTTCTTTGTTAACAGGTACTTGGTTGGTTCGCTCCGACGGTTGTTGGTTGCTAATCCTTTTTGACCATGTGATCCTTAGTATGGAGAGAAGGCGGTTATTAGTGAAAGACTTCATACTATTGGAAATTCTTTTAATGTGCCAAACATGGGACCCACATAGAGAAAGTGACTTAACACTGGTGTTGAAAATTCGGATTTCGTTCTTCATGCTGAGTGCTGAAGATTTCAAAACTGATTTCAGATCATTGAAGGTCTACCTCGCCTTGCCTCCCAACACTGGTTTTGACAACCTCATCCTTGTCGCCTGCCTGCCTGTAGCTGATAGGATGCTTCCTAAATTAGTGAAGGAAGTGACCTCTTTCAAATTTCCCACGTTGATTGTGATTGGTACTTGTAGTAGTAGTTGTTGTTTGAGTATTTTCATCACCTCTGTCTTCTCCATGTTCACTTGAAGTTCTGTCTTCACTTCTTCTCCTACCAACTCGTCGGTTTTTATTTGTGGATCTTTGAGTTTTTGTGAAGTCCAGATCTCCTGAATTCAGTGATAGTGTAACAACAAAAGACAAGGGCCAGGCAGCAGATCGTTTATTTAGGAATTCAACACATACTTATAGATTTTCATGTACATATTATAGATTATTGTTAGCAGAAAAACACAGTCCTCTGATTGGTTGTTTCTCACAGAAAATTAACCTCGCATCTCTTTGTGGCTGTTTCTTGATCATCTATACGTTAAGTGCATCCGCCTACGCAAAGCCTTTGTTCTCATTTTTCTCACGACCAATATTGGGGACATAAACATTGACGTAAATTACTGTTCACCAATTTTGGCTAACAGCCAGTTCTCGCCACAATAGTAGTCAGCCTTGTTTTATTCTTTATTTTCACCTCAATGAACTAACTGAGTTTTCCGTTGGGGGTCACTCGACATGTGGCATTGTCATATAGCTGTTGGGTGAGGTTGATAAAGATTTGGGACACTCCATAGTATTGAAGTAATTTCCTAATTACTTCAGGGTTAATGCTGTCGAAGGCCTTTTCTAAGTCGTCGAAATAGACGTAGAGGTTTGGCTGCCATCCTATGCTCTGTTCGATGATGATGATGCTTAGAGTTGCAATTTGATCAATACATGATTCGCCTTTCCTGAATCCACCTTGTTCTGGCGAGCAGAGTTCTGCATCTAGTGTATCCTTTAGTCTCTTCTGGATGGTAGGACTTACTATTTTTCTTGGTGTGGACAAGAGCACGATTCCATGCCACTTCTTGCAGAGGCTTAATTCGCCCTTATTTGGTAGCTTGACAAGGTAGGCTTTTTTCCTTCCAATCGTTTTGCAATAATGGTGTCAGCATGTCCGCTGCAGTCCCTGGGTCTCTTTTCAGAGCTTCAGGGTCGGGGATTTCTGTGTGGTCCTGCTATTTTCTCGGACTTCAGTAGCTTGATTGCATGCGGTAATAAGACTGCAGCCCTTTTGATTGGACATTAGTTAGTAACTAGTGTAATTTGTCTAGTCCTCTGTTTGGTGCAGACTGAATTCTATCAGTCACGTTTGTAATGTGGCCACCATTCTAGGTGACTCGCCATCAGGGTGCATTTTGAATTGTTGGAATTAGATACGCCTTACTGACGAGCACCAACTAGCCCGAAACCTAAGTGGAAGGCTTCCTGCCGATTGCGTCCAGCCATCTAATACCAACAAGGCTGCAGACCGTTAGTAATTCTTTCGGTGATGCGCCAAGACCTTAAACCATTTTCTAGTGATTACTACATATATAAAAAATGCTTAAGTAGTCCTTTTTTATCTCTATTTTCCACCCTCTATCGATTTTTTCACTTCATCACACGTAGCATGTAATTATAATTTCATTGACCCGTGCAGCTTGAAAATCAATCATACTAAATTTTCCTATTTCTAAATAATTCTTATTTCAATGTTCTCTTTTAATATTTTAATAAAAGTCTCTATTTCATGCTCCATAAGTAGTCATTTCTCATGACATTCCTTCATTTTAGATAATTTGCTTTAAAATAATTTGGCGTTATGCAATGTTTCTTCATCGGAAATCTGTTCTTAGTATTATTATCTGTACAAATCAATACTACTTGGGATTTAAACAAATGAGTCGATTATTCCTGGAGGTATACCTTATTAAATAATGTATTATTCACTTGCGTTAATTGTTTCTTCACTATTATTGAAAGTGATTGTATCTGAGTCAATTATTCCGTAGGAACGCCTCTTGGTGTGAAGAAAACAATTTATATTTCATAAATTATAAGATCGAATTCCAGTACCATTACTTTCGGTCATTATTCATAACAACTGTCGACTGGTTGGACACACTCCGAGGGGACCTTCAAGTGACATCTCACACTCCAGTTGTGCCATTGGAGAGAAGGTCAGTGGTAAGAGATGGGTTGGGCGTTCGAGCGTGAAACAACGAAGAGGAAATGAAAACCTGTAAACAGTTGTGGAGTTTACGAGATAGTTTATATACTTCTTACAGGTATTTTAGGGCACATGAAACACTTTTACAGTTGAGTGCATTTAATCTACATCTGTACTGAGCCTAGTAAACTGCTTTTTCCTGAAAAGCCCAAACCAACAGTCAATGACATTATATGAGAACATATTGGCTTGTATAAATCTTCTTTATTTCCCCTACTTCTGGGAAATCCAATATGAATAGGAAGGCGTAAAGAATATCCCATTAATTTCAAACGACAGACGTCCAACCTACTCAACTGACTTGCTTATCTTACCCACAAATCTGCATCTGACTTCTACATTGCTCATCTGGTAGTTCAACTAAACGTGAACTGTGCTACGAAGGTGAAAATAGTGAAATATCTGTAACTTTGACAAGAACTTAGTGGGAAGTATAGTCAATACATTACAACTTTAATGGCAAATCAAGTACCTGTATCTTAAATTGTACGATTTTCTAAGAGCCAAATCTAAGTTTGTAAATTTCTAGTAGGGTGAATTGTCACTAGACACTACTAATTTCATTCCCTATTTTCAAATGGTTATCCATTTTCTACAATCCTAAAATTACAGGTTAAAGAAGATATTATAAACGTGTCTGAGTTGATCAGAGCATTATGACTTATGTGTCTGCGACCAACATATATATATATCATCTGTGTTCTGAGGCAACTAGGAAATGCTTTATAGACTTATCCCTACGGAATTTAACGTCGAAGCAGAATCCCCTACAAACTTTTCCCATCTTCGTTTTCGAACACCAAGAGATAGCATTTATCAGTTTAATAGCACACTGGAAATTACCAGGCATATTCAGGATGAATGAGGTTATGGCTAGTTGATTGGGCATGAGTTCTTTCAAGGTTGCAGATACGCCTTACTGACTAGTGAGTGCCAACTAGCACGAAACCTAGGTCCAAGGCTTCCTGCCAATTGCCTCCAACCCGCTAATATTGATCATTTTTCCCTATATATATATATATATATATATATAGCCCAAGCATTCCCATCATTCTGTTGGGCATAGAAATATATATACTGTTATTCTGAATCTAATTAGGTACAGGTAAACGATTGTCAAAGTACATCAGACAATTCTTTCTATGGTTATCACGATTCACAAACTCTTTTGGTATAGACTACTATAGCATTGTGATATGCTTGCAGCACAACAGCCAAATAAATGTAGCTACTGATGACAGTTTAGTGACTTATCATTGAACTCTATGCACTTACACACCATTTAGTAACGAGAATCTGTACATCGAAGTGTACATTATGTATGCCAAGCTAGTGACATCATTGGGAGCATTGTCTCAACAACAGGAAGTCGGAACGGACGACGATGTCAAATCGAGCGAGAATCGGGAAGGCGAACGAGAAACACATTCATCAACCTGAAACCAATCTGGAAATCTTCGTAACTCAGCCAGCATCAACAACAAAATTCGGTCGGATTTTCAATACAAATGTCAAGTCAGTCAGTTCTTCTATACGGATCAGACACTTGGCGGGCGGGCGGGTCACAAAGAATATTTCCAACAGCCTGTTGCAGACCTTTATCAACCGACAACTGTCTTCGCTGGCTTAATACTGAAGATCAGATGGCCGGAAAGAATCACCAACAAGAAACTATCGCTGCGAACAAACAAAAGAAGAAGCAATCGCCAACCAACAAATATGCAGGAGAAAGTGAAGATGGATTGGACACTCGCTCGATGAGGAGGCCGCCGCTGGGTGACATGGCGCGCGCGTCAGGCCATTCCTCGAGTGGAACCAGACCGGAAGAGAAGCGGCGAGTGGGACGTCAGTGCAAGGGTGACATGGAGGAGGCCGTGTGAAGAGGAGTTGAGACAGTATGGACTAACTAAAATGGATGGAGGTGAAAAGTACAGCAGAAGCAAGACAGAAGTGGCAAGTGGAGACGTGCAGTTGAAGCCCTATGTTCCACTAGAAACCCAAGGAAACAATAATAATAATAACAATAGTGACATCATTACTAAATACAAAAGTAATCTTTCAATAGTTTCATCTCAACAACGCATCATCATAGTATAAACAGTAACAAATCGAAAGATTCAAGTTTTGACTAACAACAACAAACAAAATCTTTCGTAGCATACCAAGGAACTTTATTGTAGGAAATAATGAAAAAAATTGCACGAAAATTAAATTAGCATACAATAATACAGTAGTTCTTTTATCTAAATAATAACTGTGATCACAGTAAAGGTTAGACTGTTTGGTAATGAATAAATAGGATAAATAAAAAACTCTGTATCAAATGGATAAACACAATAGAATTTTCTTCGAAAGACATAAGGTTGAAGTCATGTACACATTTATGGGACGCATAATATTTTTTTTAATTATTCATCTTGAGTAAACTTCATGTTATCAGTTAGTGTTTTTTCGTTGTCACAAAACGATGGAAGCTACAAAAACAAAACACACAGTTTTATCAACCAATCTTACAACGAGTGAACAAATTAATGGACATAGATATTCATTCTTTCTACTGTTTGGAACACGGTTATTATTATTATTAGTGGTAGTAGTAAAAGTAATGGTATTAGTAATGTTAGTAAATGAAAAGATAACCAAAAGCTGTGAATCTACTCGTCTCATTTAATACAAAAAAAATAACAGTAATAAAAAGTAGTATATGAACGAACAGCTGAACAAATAGAAGTAACTGGGTTATTCTAAGATTTGAATAATAAAGTGTCAGAAATACTGTTGTTTTTCAAAAATGGTGCTTAGAGAATCACAGAGAATAAATAATGGAATGAATTCAACCGGTTGAGTTCGATTTTTCAGGGAATAAATGCGTCATAACAAACATGCATATATCTGTATTGGTCCAGTAACTGGTATGCGAAGTCAAAAGAGAAATGTACATATTTTCATAGCGTGAAGAACGCAGTTCAAAGTCCAATCGATGCTCCAGTTGTAATGATTCAAGAAACAGATTATCATTAACAAATATATCCGTCGAATGCCTAGTTGACATAGTGGGAGTTTCATTTTTATTTGTAGGGCTACATGAAGTGGTATCTTCTGGCATAGAATTAATCTTTTCTTCATCATCGCTTAATTCAAAAGTTGGTGGAGTATCAGTCTTTGACGTTCCATGATCAAAACCATTTTTAGGAGGTGAAAATTCGATTGCTTCAGTTTCTTGAGTTGAAGAATACGGTGAAGCTCGTGAGAAGAAACCGAAAAGTCGACCTAAATGTGGAGGGAAATATAGCTGTCATTTTTCGAGAAAAAAAAATTACCGATTTATTTTATTACCTATGAAAGATACACAACACGTGAAATGTAAAATAATAAAAACAAAACTTAATAAATAAATAAATGATCGAATTTCAGTATACTAGTCAAAAATACAAGCAAACAACAATTATTTTTTTTAATGATTACTTTTCACATGACAGTTAACGCCATTTATTGCCTGATTTATAAATCTGCTGACAGCTTTATTCTTTTTTTTATACAATTAGTTCTTTCCGGGAAAGATTTTATGGACCGATGGACTGTCAACTTTGTTGCTGTCACATATGCGAATGGAAGTGGACGTCCCCTTCGTCTTCGTATCCAGGAATATAAACTAGCCGTCAAAAGACATGACATCCATCCATGCATACAGACAGCCATGAACATCAATTTGACTGGGACAATCGTGGAGAAATCTAAAATCTCACTTCAAATTGAAGAATGCACTGAATATAGGTATGGCAATGAAAGATTCACAAATAAACCATCCAGCTCAGAGACCACAACTACATCAAAAATTCAATAATTTTTATGAACTTTAATATATATTCAGTCAATTCGATCTCCAGATGTGCACGACCTGAAGATAAAATCAAATTACTTTAAGTAATTTGGTAGGTGATAACTACCAGCGGAACCCACAATGCGCATTTCGTCCTAGTTGGGACTCATGAACTGGGTGTACCTGCACTCGCCTGTGAGTGATGGTGTTCCCTCTGAAGCTCAAACTCAGTACTCGTCATTTCAAACGCCAAGGCATTATCCATTAGGCCACTTGGTCCACGAGAGCCACCACCCCTTGTGCGACGGGTGTCAGTTATTATTTATTTTTGACTCAATTCCGATTTTCCGGTGATTAATTGGACCCAAATGTTCAGCCTCTCTTAACATGTCTGAGGATTAACCTGAAGTATAGTTGCCAACAAACGATGAGTGTCTGATTACATATGAAAATGAACAAGGTAAAATTTATTTTGATAAAGTCTCACAGTGTTATACAGTATTATACTTACTGATGACGTTTCGAGCACAATTTATTACTATTCATAATCATATCAAGTTACTAACGCAACTTTCCAACTTCCTTTATATATTCCACTATCTCTTGATTTGATTGATAATAGCACTTTCCATATTTTCGATATGAGTGATGAGTCATCCCTATTGCACGTGTTGAGTGTAAACTCTATGATCAAAGAATCAATAATCAACCCGCAATAGGAGTGACTCATCACTCATATCGGAAATATGGAAAATACTACTACCAGTCAAATCAAGAGATGAAAAATAACAGAATTATTCACACGAATTTGGGAAGTTGTGTGAGTGACTTGATATTACTATGAGCAGCAATAAATTGTGCCCGAAACGTGGTCATTATTAAATATTACTGTATAACATTGTGAGACTTAATCATAATAAATTTTACCCACAATGAAATTATACTCTACCACAGTGCACAAGTCCTATTCTTATATAAAAGAAAAAGGGATGTTAAGAAAAGTAGTAATTCTAACTAAAACATTACCTCTGTCATCTCTTATTATTTAAAACGATTGCACAAAATGAAGTGTTTTTAGTTCTAATCGTAATTGAAGAGATCGTCTGATGCCTGATGACATTTCTAATGTGACATGTGGTACTGATAAGATTTATAAGTAGTATACAGACATTCGTCGGTGTAAAAATAGCAAATAGCGGAGAGACAAGACTTGACGTCAAAGAGAGAAAATAATTCAGCGTTGCAGCAAAACATGGGAGACACGAAAAGAAGACAGTATGAAGGGTAGAAGTAGCACAACAGAGAAGATATGCGCAAATGACGATTTGCAGGTAAGGTGTACATAATTCCGCTACACAAAGGTACAAAATTCTAAATAAACATTCCTTTACCAAGTCTCTTGTCTTCTATAATTACACTAATGCTACTTTTTTAATTATTATTGCTCCCTTGGGTTCCTAGTGGAACATAGGGCTTCAACTGTACGTCTCCATTTTCTTCTGTCTTCTGCTGTACTTTTCGCCTGCATCCATGTTAATCCATATTCTTTCAACTCCTCTTCACACGATCTCCTCCATGTCACCCTTGGACGTCCCACGCGCCGCTTCCCTTTCGGGTTCCACTCGAGGGCTTGGCGCGCGATGTCACCCAGCGGTCTCCTCAGCGAGTGTCCGATCCATCTCCACTTTCTCCTGCATATTTGTTAGGCGATTGGTTCTTGCTTTGTTTGTTCCCATAATTCCTTGTTGGTGATTCTTTCCGGCCATCTGATCTTCAGTATTGAGCGAAGACAGTTGTTAATAAAGGTCTGCAGCCTTTTGGAAATATTCTTTGTGACCCGCCAAGTGTCTGATCCGTATAGAAGAACTGACTTTACGTTTGTATTGAAAATCCGAATTTTGTTGGTGATGCTGAGTGACGAAGATTTCCAGATTGATTTCAGGTTGATGAATGTGTTTCTCGCCTTCCCGATTCTCGATTTGACATCCTCGTCCGCTCCTCCTGTAGTTGAGACAATGCTCCCTAGATAAGTGAGTGAATGAGGTAACCTCTTTCAAATCCCTCCCGTTGATGTTGATTGACGTTGGATGTTGTTGCTGTTGTTGGTTGGTTATTTTCATAACCTCCGTCTTGTCTATGTTTACCTGGAGTCCTGTCTTTGCTGCTTCTTCGATTATAAAAAGCCTAAATGTGACACAAAAACGTTGTTGAAAACAGAAACGGTTGACTTATCTTAATCATTATATTTCACACAAAAATAAAACATATTTTTCGTGTCTGAAATTAATTTCTTAATGAGCTAACGAAATACGTAAAACTTGCGTTTTGAGTATGCTTTAATCAATTTAGTTTGTTCAACGGAGCATTCATATAAATTATAGGAAAACAACTAATATATATTACCTAGAAATCAGCAGAATAATTAATTCCATGCAGAATAACACATTGCAACTAAAGAGAATCAATAACAATACACAAGCGAGCTACAATCAGAAGATACCAACATTTGTACATTGAATGACAAATTACAGTATTCAAAATGTGAAAAAAATGAAATTATTGCTACATTAATTGTTTTTAACCAACTTACTGGCAATTGATAAACGTCTAGAAGAATCTGTACAAGTATCTTGTGCTGCCAATAACTGATTCGTGTCCGAAGCGCTTTTAGATGTCTATTTTTGATGCAATCGGAAAATATTATAAAACTAACAAAGTTAAAACATGTGAGAACAAACTAAGATTACTTTAGGAATGATAAACATGGAACTAATTATTGCTAACAAGCTGTATTCCTGCTATCATTAGTACAATTTTCGTAAGTTATTTCTCCAGCTATAAGAGGGCCAGTGTAATCTTTAGTTTGTAAAAGTGATATTAACAGTATACGAATAATCTAACCAGAGAAAATCAGTGTACACCACAGAGGAAATGCATATCCATAACTGCTTGTTTAAAAACAAACTAGAGGTCTACTTATTTTTCAAGAATTAGTTTGTAAGGATTCTGTTTGTTTCAGGTTAGACCACGGATCGATATCAGTTAGAGAACATTGAAAACTAGGGAGTACTGGACGATTGCTTTGTCCTAGTACGGGAGTCACCGGCAGTACGCTAGCGACTGAAGTTCTAGGGGGAAGTCATGAACACTGCCGTTTATCCAGTCAGGAGTGAGGATGTAGTTCCCGCCGATGATACTGGTTGGTGGTCGCGCTAAAATCACGAATTGGTAGAAATTAGAATAAATGGGCTGCCCATTGAATCGGATCCGAGTGGCTAAATAGTATACAAGTTTACCTTTTAACCGGAAGGTCCTAGGTTCAAAACCCAGTGGGTCAGTCCCAAACAAGGCCGAGACAGCTGTCCAGTACTCCCCAGTTTTCAATGATTCTCTAACTGATATTAGTCCGTAGCTTAATCTAGAGCTTACCTACTTTAAATAAACGGTTTTTCCTAAATAAAGAATATTATGTTAGTCGTTGCCACAGTCGTTTGACAAAAGTTCATCAAATGAAACTGAACAATCAGATTTAGTGATTAGTTTGTGAAACCACCTATAACATAAGAAATACGAGATCTACCAGTGAATGCAAAGTTAGTGAATTAAAACGGTCATACAACACCTCTAAGTGAACCTCAACCTCAATTTAAGAATGCCTAACATTGTATTCTTCAATTAAACATAATTCATGTCAACTTACACAATCCTCTGATTTTTGATGTTTAAATTCTTTCCCAGAACATGCAATTAAAGGAAGGCTGTCATAACAAGGTCTAGATGTGGCATCTGCTCGATGAATCATAGCTGGTTGGACGTTAGAGTAGTACTTCAAAATTAGTGGTTCTAAACGATAGGCCTGAAAACGGAAAGAAAAAATTTAAAAACTTATAAGCAAAACAGAAAATGAATTGCTACAATCAGTTATTATTAAGGGTTGAACTGTTAGGGCTTTATATATATATATATATATATATATATATATTTCTGCTTTAATCTTCTGTCTTGTTTTTTTGTTGTTGTAGATACTAGTACTGTTATTTCACTAGTCAGACTAACTCAGAGAACGGTTTACCATAGCAAAACATAAGAGTAAAGCTATTTACACGACAATAGTATTATTCTTATCTTATCTTAATCCTGAACCCCTCAATTTGAGGGACAAATTACATTACTTTAATGCACTTTTGTACAAATGACAAGAAATATCTTAAATTCACTTTATTTTGTTCATATTCTCATTCGAAACTCGATCAATGTAGAAAGTGCATACAATTGGTTCACTTATAGACAATGTTAGATCGATTTCAAATATCTTTTCTGTAGTAATAATTACCAAAATCAACTTGACTCATCTAAAAAAACTACGATGTAAAGTATACTGATGTACCTTTCAAGTTGAATAAAAAAGATGATAGTAATACTAACCAACTGGTTTCAACATAGAACTTTTCACAGATGTGCAACAGTACGAGTTGCCACACTTTACTCAGCACACAAAGCAACAATAGAAAGTAAAAGAGATATGCAAAACAAAGAGATGTGAGGCAAAAAGAATAGTAATATCGAAGAACAATATAGTTCTATTGAATATTGTAAGTCAAAAGGAGTGGATGTATCTTCACCCGCCATTGAGAACGATTTTGAGACATATCACCGATTGTCTCCAGCCTGCATTGGTTTCTACCGTCCCGAAGACCCAACCAGACATCAGTCTAAACCTCCCTACGTGGCTGGTTGTGGATTTTATTGATTGGTGAAGTCATGTTTTGGTTTGGCCGCTACTGGCTCTTTTCCAACCTGATCCATCCTATGTCAGCTGACACTGACCGTTGTCGAGGTAGGCGATGGCTAGGCATGGGTAACAAATCTCCTAACCGTCTCAATCGATGTAACTTCACAACCTAGATAGAACGCAAGCACCTGTGATCAAAGACAGCTAGCCGGCCTTTTCATGTCTTTCACTCTCAATGGCCAGATCTCACAGCCAGAAAGGAGGACGGAGCGGAATGCTGAGCAGTACACACGTCCTATAGTCGATAGCTGGATATCACGTCTACGCGAGAGACGGCGTAAACTGGTATATGCGAAACTAGCTTTCTGTATCCGTGCTGAGATTTCGTCAGTGATAAACCCGCTGGCGCTGGCCAATGTAACTTCCCAAATAGGTGAAGTGGTCAACACGCTCTACCACTTTACTCCATATCTTTAAGCTAGGAGTCAATGTAGTCATCCAAGCGACGAAAGATTATGATACTTTCGAATCCATTTATATTCCTAACCAGGACTTCAGTCCTACCCTTAACCCTAAACACCCAAGCCTTACCTATACCTATAAGTGGAATACTGTACCTACCTTCACCAAAATCATAAATGAAGGTAGGATTTTGGTTTGGAACGACCTTCTGGTGGCGTTCTCTAAATCTGATTGGCTCTCCAAGGTCAACTTTTTCATAGATCTTGACTCTGAGCCATGGGAGCTTAACTTCGTTGGCATAAGCATTAATCTAACACTTACTAATATTCCAGTATTCCTTACCCTCCTAAGGTTCGTTAATTGACATGGGTACGTGGTGAAATCTACTTTGAAACAAGTACAACCCCAACAAGGCAGGAACTTCTACACTGCATAGATTAAATTTCTCAAAGTGAAAACCAAAAATTAATATGCAAGGTCTGTGTAAACTATAGCTGTGGTGGTGTGATACAGGCGATGTGTGCCAACAGAATATTATTTCCACGTATTCCCACAATTCAATTCGGCATTAGCAACAGGATACGATACATCTATTTCAACATTCTATTTCATGTTGTTTGATGTGAACCGAAATCACACACTCAGTGATTGGTTAAAGAATATAAACTATATATATATATATATATATATATATATATGATCAAAGAAAACATACCTTGACTTCCGTGTGTTGCTTCCTGTTGTTACACACTGACCGCTAAACAAGAGAGTGATACTGTATGATTCAAATAACGAGAAATATTATACTGTCGCACTTTAGCCTACCTAATAGGAAACAGTAGTTAGTAGTGAAGGACGAAACTACGCAAAACAGCCTATGCAAGAAAAAAAACCAGCTGTTTATGACATGAAAAATTGGTTATTTCTGTTTAAAAGTATCGGGCATTGCCTACATTTAAGCTCTAGTATTTTGTTATCATAACTTTCAAGAGATTTATTATTAATACATATGGATACAGTATCACATGTGTGATGTTTAACATCGAATTACTTACCACAGGATCTGCTGGATGATATATGTTGAAAATACGAGAGCATATTTTGCGTGGCAATATCGTATCTTGGTTCTGATAGGGACCAGGTCGGATACCACGCAAAACTAAGTACACCCCTAAAGGTGAACCTAGGCAGAAAAAGTTCTCAAGCTAGAGGTAAATGAAAACGCAGAAGTGAGTGTTAAATAATGGATAAGAAATTCACTTAATAGGTAAAAAACAAAACAACAACAGTGAATTAATAACGCAAAAAAGTTGACACCGGAAGCATAATAATAATAACATATTAGGCGGCCTGCTTAAACCTTGGGCTACCAAAATTTTCTGTCATTTATATTGTATCTGATCACTCGGATTTATTTTGTTTTAATTATTCAATTATATGTCCAAATCATATTGTTTACTCTCGCGATTATTTAAAATGTTTTCAACCTGATGATTTACGAGTATATAATAACCTTAAGAAAAAGCATCATGGTGGGTGGCAAAGATCCTTAAAGTGTACTCCAATGCATTAGATGGCTGTTCCTGTGATTATGAGCACAAATTGCAGGTCATTATCGAACAAGATTAATTACTTGGATGCTCTATTATGTTCAAATATTTATCGTAATACAAGTGTAATAACGCTTCAAGAAACTTGGCTGCACGATTCATATGATGACAATTTAATCTTACTGAATGGTTTCAATATGTACAGACAAGACCGAAGTAGTTCAAGGAAGAAGCGAGGTGTTGGTGTTGCTACTTTATCAATTCTCAGTGGTCTGTTGCCAACAACGTCTGTTTTAAATTCTCAAATGATAATATTGACTGTATAACTGTCAAATGTCGACCTAAACACCTATCTAAATACAAATTCATTTATATCACAAACATTTATGTCACACCTTGCTGTAGCACTTCAGAACTGTCTATGTTTGCTGATGAATTCACTATTTTCGCTGTCTCTTTTGGAAACTCATTGTCCATAGTCACAGGTGATTTTAATTCATGTGACTACAGCTTTCTCACAGTGCTAGATCATGAAAATGTCGTCAACTTCCCACCAGACTGGATAATTCTCTTGATCTTGTATTTATAAATGACCGTGGAATATACGAAGCTCGTAAAAGAGCCCCATTCTTTAACTCAGATCATTGTATTGTACGGGTTTTACCTAAAATTTATGGAAAGTTACACAAGAGAACTTTTTCACACCTCTCCAAGAAAACTGTACATGTATGTTAATCTTTGGAGAATGTTCAGAATCTTAGGGGCATGCTCAAAGACACAAGGTGGGACCTGTTTAATGAAGACTCTCTTGATGACACAATCTCTAATAATACAAGTTATCTCAAATTTTGTCTTGACACCTGTTGTCCCAGAGAAACGCTCTTCATCAGATTTGACCGTTTCTCCTCCCCTCAACTTAAAATGCTTCGCAGACAAAAAGAAAAGCTATATAAAATGAAGGACAATACTGGTTTGAAAAGAATTAACATCCTAATAAAATCTGAAATGCACAAGTTGAATTCAATTTACAACCAAAAGTTTATATCCTGTAAAAATGCGTCTAATATATGGAAACTTTTCAAAGAAATTACTGGTGGTAAGCAGATGAATAGTATTCCTTATTCCTTTGATGTTTGCACACTAAACAAGTCTTTCATATATTCTCCCACAAATGCCAAACTTTCTAGTGTTACAAGTGTTAATGAAACCTGCTTCCCTGGTTTCAATACAAATGATGTTCAAAAATGTCTCTAGTCTCTGAACCCTTCTTGTAGCCTGGGCCCAGACGGTTTGCCTAGTGTTTTTCTTAAAAAATGTGCAGACATCCTGTGTTATCCTCTCATGGACACATTTAACGAATCTTCTTCCAGAAATGCCGTTCCAGCCGTTTGGAAGGACATCAAAATTGTACCTATCCCTAAGTCGTCTACTGGAACATGTTTTAAATTTAGACCTATTGCTATTACGTCTCCTTTTCTAAAAGCTATGGAAAAGTTACTCTTACTTAATTTTCAGCCTTCACTTAAAGCCTTTAACGATCCTAAACAATTCGCTTATAAACACAGCAGAAGTACTTTAGATGCAGTTGCAGTCTTGTACCATAACATTGTCTCCAGCTTAGACAAGGGGGCTAAATTTGTTCGCTGCACCTTCCTAGATTACACATCTGCTTTCGACTCAGTACCTAGGGACATTTTGTTAAACAAGCTTGCCGAAACTCAAACTGACTGTTGGGTTGTCAAATGGCTGCATTCTTATTTCTCAGGAAGAAAGCAGTACACTGTATGTCAGGGAAAGTCGTCCACTTCATTGCTTACTGAGGCTGGTGTCCCTCAAGGCGCTGTCCTTTCTCCTTTTCTGTTTTCTTTCTTCTTGCATGATTTGCCTCACTCTGATGAAATGAACTTTGTTAAGTATGCCGATGATCTAACTATTTCAACGACTCTTAACTCCCAGCTTGACTGTGCTAAGATGAACAGCTTTCTATCAGGAATTAGCAAATGGTCTTCGTGTAACGGCCTTAAACTAAATCCTTCCAAATGCCAGACTGTTAATTTCAGTTTCCGATGTAAACGAAAGTTAAATGAAGCTGTTGGTTCCTATGACTCTTGCAAAATTGATGACACTGATATAGAAATCAAGTCTGAAGTTAAGTATCTTGGATTAATTCTTTCTTCTGACCTATCCTGGTCTTCCCATGTCTTAGCGATTTCTAAAAGAATATTTCGTCTGACTTTTTACATTAAGAAGTTGAGGCACTCAGGCATAACCCAACCACTCCTCTTACAGTTTGTCAACTCGCGTATTTTACCTATTCTTCTTTACTGTTCACCCTTATTCTTTCCTGGATTGCTTAAAAAAGACTATGTCATACTTCGTAGAACTCTGAAGACTGTCAGTAGGACGAGTGGTATCCCATTGGGCCATATCGTTGACATTGTCACTGATGATGGGCACTTGATGTCATGTAACAAATTTGCCAAAGGAATTTTGTCAGACTCTGAGCACCCACTCTACTCGCAGCTCCAACCTTGTGTCTCAGGTAAAACAAGAAGTCTTTTCAGAAGACTTTATGCACGTACATATGAGTATAAGAATTCCACTATACCATACTTAGCACGTACTTTATGTGATGAAAATGGTGTCAGGCATGAACTAACTAACCTTCTTTGCACTATTAAACAAACCATTTCTTCCACCCTTACAGTACCAAACTTTATTGTTATTGTATTTCTTATATTTATAATCCTCTCAATTTTTTGTTTTTATTTATTTATTTTCCATAAGCGTGAACATCGTTTAAGCTGTGTTACCACTGTTAATCTTGTATTTCCCCTCAATATACTACATCAACAGAACATTAAATTCAATATTCTATAGTAACATGCTAAAATTTTCAAACTGAATCGACAATACTGTTTGAAACAAACTCACTGTTATTATTATTATGATTCCTATTATTATTATTATTACTATTATTAATATTTAATGATCTCAATTCGTGCTTAGAATATTTTTGACTTTATATCGTAAACGTGGACAAATTCCTCTGGTTACTACTTCTGTTTTAATTTTTAATTTTATTTATATATTGAGTAAATCAGATGCAATATTGTGAAAAATGCTGAGAATTCCATTCTGCATTATAAGTACTGTTTTTGGAATAAATTAAATTAAATTATTTAAAAAAATTATTAATAGAAATTATTTAATTTTAGCTAACAACAATTCCATTCCTGCACACTAAAAGTATGCTTCAACAACTTATTAATAATAATGCTTTTCGCGACGTTACACATCAAAAATTTAAAATAACTAACAATAGAGCACCTCTGCTTCTCCACATGGCTAATACAGAATATGAAGTCCTGCTGGTCTTTAAACAGGATATGATACCTACGGACGTCGTATATACTTCAGTAAAACTTGGCGAAACTTACATTATGTGCAAAAAGTAGAGAACTTGGTTGAAACAATGAAGAACCGGGGGGACACATTGAAAAGTCAGCTGATTGATTAGAATTAGAATCACCAACATTGGATTTGTGAGCATTATTTGACTTCAGATTTCTCCTAGTTACAAGCAATCGATTCAGCTCTTGTTCTAAATTATTGACCCTAAATTATTTTAAATGAGAAAGGGATTTAGAATTCACAACAGAACAATGAAAGGATTCTCTTCTTAAAGATACATTGCAGAACAAACAATTTAATTTCCATTTAGTAAATGTGATAGACAATATGACAGAGATATTCAACAATTTTATTTTCAAGGATAATAGACTTTGACCTCAAAAAGCACTTAGAACTCAAGTATTTCTCGGATAATAGAGAATAATGATTATAATAATAGATGGGACGTATTGCACTACCTATATACACATTCACTGAATACAAACTCCTTACAATGGCACATATTGTGCGTATACTTTCCAGGAAAATCTAACCATCCCTTAACTCTGTTAATGAATAATTTTAGTTTCAAACGAAAAAAAAACATTGGGGTTGCTGGGTTTGCGAAGGATTGATTATTCTTAAGGTTGACGTCATCGCTTAATGCAATTAACTGGAAGAATCACTGGAAATCAAGAAGCACTGAGGTGCTGTCTCCGAAATTTTCGCTAATCTTGATTTGATTACCTTGTGGAATGTTGGCACGACGTCCGAAGCTGGAAAGGTAGCTCAGGTTGCAAAACAAAAGTGAAGATATGGTGTGGAAATCTTAGGGATCTGTGGGAGCAGGTGAGGTGAAGATGGACTCTCTAATTTGTCAACTGGAGAGTCGACAGTCTACTTCAATCACGCAAATGATAACCACGAGCACAATGACAGGGCGGCTACCATGATGTCACCAATAACATCGAGGGCTCTCGTGAAATGGGGACCGTTCTCATCCAGGATGATGACAGCAATATTCAACTCAAAGGTCAGGGAAGTTACAGTTACTCAATGCTACGCACCTACACACAACTCAGAACAAAAGAAAGAAGACTCCTACAGAGGACTGCAAACGGTAATGGATAATATCCCAAATGGCAACATCAAAATCCTAATGGCTGGTATGAATGTTAAACTAGGAGCACACAATGCAAGAAAAGAATCTATCATGGGTCAAGAAGCCGTCAGAGAACTGAATGAGAACGGAGAACTCTTCTCAGATTTCTGTAGGTTCATTGATTTGGTGATTGGAGGCAGTGTGTGAATGCACAAAACCCTACACAAAGCAACATGGGTTTAACCTGATGGACACACTAAAAGCCAGATAAAATTTATTTCAGTCCCATGAAAATGGACACGCAGACTGCTGGGCACAAAGTCGAGAAAGAGGAGCAGATGATAGCTCAGACCACCATCTAGTACAAGGAACTCTCAAGCCGAGAGCCTGCAAAGCAACTGGAGATAGACCACAACTCAATTACAACACTCGGACACTGAAGGACGAAACTACAAAGGATATCTTCAGTGTTGCTATCAGAGCAAAGTAGGAAATATTACGTAGAATAACCGAAGAGACAAGATAAAAAACGGTTCACAACTGAAGGTGAAACAGAAGATGGGCGAATTCAAAGATGGACAATGGAAGGAGAGGCTGAGTTTAATGTGCAGCGCAATGAATAATGAAGTGAGGATGAGTGCTAGGCAAGACGAAAGAAAATTCTTCGAAACACTGACAACTCAAGCAGAAAATGTCGTAGGTAAAAGAGACCTCAGAACAATACTTTAGATAACCAGGTCGGCATCTAAGAAAAAATCAACACAGTAGTAACTAAAAGATTTTGAAGTAAACTGATTTACTAAAGGGGAGAAAAGAAATAAAACAATGGATTGATTACTTCAAAGGATTCCTGGGCCGGCCATCACCTGCAAATCGCCCAGAAATATACCATCACCAACAGCACGCACACAACTGTCAATGGAAACCAATACCCCAACAAAAGCAGAAATCTCTCATGCAATCAAGCTACTGAAGTCCGAGAAAATAGCAGGACCGGACAAAATTCCCCCACCCCAAAGCACTGAAAAAAGACCCAGGGACTGTAGCGGACATGCTGACACCAATATTGCAAAACGATTGGAAGGAAGGAAAGGTGTCTTTCTACTGGCTGGAAGAAAGGCTACCTTGTCAAGCTACCAAATAAGGGCGACTTAAGCCCCTGCAAGAAGTGGCATGGAATCGTGCTCTTGTCCACACCAAGAAAAATAGTAAGTCCTACCATCCAGAAGAAACTAAAGGATACACTAGATGCAGAACTCTGCTCGCCAGAACAAGGTGGATTCAGGAAAGGCGAATCATGTATTGATCAAATTGCAACTCTAAGCATCATCATCATCGAACAGAGCATAGGATGGCAGCCAAACCTCTAATAGTCTGAAATCTTTTACTAATAACCGCCTTCTCTCCATACTAAGGATCACATTGTCAGAAAGGACTAGCAACAACCAACCATAGTGACTGACATAAACTGCTCTTACTATGGAGTAACGACAGTCTATGTGTGTCAAGGGAATAATACGAAATACCCAGATACTGATATTTCATTTCTATAGACCACGAGTAAGGTGGCGATATAACACCTTTTAAGAGAAGAGAATATCAGTATAAAACTCACAAAGTCTTTGCCGCATCAAGCTGAAAACTAACACGAGTAACTTGCTTCAAATTGCCAGAAGAAGATACCACATTGTCTTTTCGATCGTGACACATCACACCGGAGTTATTTCTTACATCCAGCTGAAGATCAGTTATAGAAACAATAAAAGACATTTAAAATCTAAATAAAACACAATGAAATGTATGTGCTAAAAAACATTACATTCTGTACTGGTTTGATAGCGTGAGAAGCTACTGAAAACGAATAATTAAAAAAGTTGACATATCCTAAAGCATATTACGATAACACGTATGAGTTGACAAACATGAACATCAATAAAATGATAAAATAGACAAACAATTGACAAAGGCGTTTGAATAGTTGCGTACTAGTTCAAGTAGCTACCCGGTGAAAAAGCATGCGACGAACTGGGAGACACAAATGTGGCGAAACAACAATAAAAAACGTGAATATGGGAGGAAACGCAAAAATTAGGTGAAGACTGATGCTCAGAAATTCGCAAGGAACAATTTTGAATACCCTCAATGAGAATATTCAACTACCTGTTATAAGCGTTTTGACGACGGCAGTTAATGAATCTACATCCCTCTAAATGACTCAGATCGATAAGCTAATGACTCCATGTATTAGTAAGATGTTTTGTTCTGACTAACAAGGCGATCGATATCTAGTCTGAAAATGGGCCAATCAGAATTAATCTGCTACAAAGTACACACCGTTGTACGGTGGACAGACAACCTATCGAATTTATCTGTAAAAATAACGCTAACTACTTTCTGTCATTATCACTTAGTAGTCGATATATTTTGTGAATATATATATATATATATATATATATATATATATATCTGTCTGTCTGTCTGTTTTCGACATAGAACTTTGCACAAATGTGCGGAAGTTCAAGTCGCCACATTCCGTGTAGCACGCGAAGCAAGAGAAGAAAGTACAAGAAAAGCATAATAGAAACAGTGAGCAGAGGTGTGAGACAAAGGAGTAATAAAGAAAAACAAAACAGTTTCATTGGAGATCATAAGTCACAGGGAGTGGATGCATCTGCGCCACTGAGAACGATTTTGAGCCATGTCACCAATTGTTTCCAACCATAGATTTTTACCGTCCCGAGGACCCCAGCCTGGAAGTCTACACCTTCCTACGTGGCTTAGACCAACTGTTGTGGATTTCATTGACTGATGCCAAGTTTTTGTTTGACCGCCGCTAGCTTTTTTCCAGTCTGACCCTATATCCGCTAACATTGCTGGTTGAGGGAGGCGATGGCTTGGCATACGTAACACATGTCCTAACCATCTCAGTCTTTGTAGCTTCACGACTTCGTCGATTGATTTCCCCTGTTTACCTAGAACTCTACGCCTAACCTCCATGTTGCTCACCTTATCATGCCACTTTACACGGGAAATAGAACGCAGGCACCTATGATCAAAGACAGCTAGTCTTTTCATGTCTTCCACTCTCAGTGGCCAGGTCTCACAGCTGGCCATATAGGAGGACGGAGCGGACTGATGAGCAGTACACCCGCCCTTTGGTCGATAGTCGAACATCTCGTCTACGCCAGAGTCGGCGTAAACTAACAAATGCGAAACGAGCCCCTTGTATTCGTGCTGAGATTTCGTCAGAGATCAGCCCGTTGGGGCTGATGGTACTTCCCAAATAAGTGAAGCGGTCAACGTGCTCTACCACTTCACTTCCTATTTTTAAACTAGGCGTCGATGTAGTCCAGTCCTATAACATCATCTTGCATTTGGCGGGAGCGAATCGCATGCCAAACATTCGTAGATATATATATATATATATATATATATTTGTTATGTGAATATAACTTTTCCTACTATATCGGACTATATTCTCAGTTAAGTAGTAGAGGGGATTCACCTGACTGTCGCATAACGCTGATGAAAAAATAAGTGATATCTGTGATTATCCTGACCATACAAGATAGCACATTTTACTATCAAGCAATAGTTCTAAGAAATACATAAAACTGACCACCTAACTTCTTGCAATCTATTCTCACTTCAGCTAGAAATGCCTGTTGAGGAAGGCGTTGCCTCAATATACGTAACACCTGTTCTAGCCACCTCAGTCGATTAAGCTTCATAATCGCGTCAACCGATTTAACCTTCTTACCTAACACACTATACCAAATGTGAGCAACTCAACTAAGGTGAAAATAACAAAAAAACTTCTGGTGTCAACACACTTCCACTTCCAGCGACCACATCACACAGTATTAAAGCAAGATGAAACGTCAGTCAAGTTGTGACGCCGTTAGCATGGGAACTATGGGACAATGTCATTCAAAATAGCTTTAAAAGGATTTTATTTGCGATGGAAATCTGTGTAAAGTATTAGATTTGAAGTATTAATAAGTGAATTTATGAATATTCATGAATGATTGAACCGTGACTGAAAAGTTTAAGGACTCAATTTTAACCTTTGAGTCATGAGTTTACACTTCACTTCACTTACCCACGTTTGGTTAACCGAGTATTATCATCTAACTTTATATAATGTGCCACCTCCTCCTAAATGCATGTAAATTCGAGGTGGATGAAGGAAGAAACTGGCCATAACTACAATGGTTTGATTAAACTTCTGTGAGATGTATCATTGAATGAAAATACTTATTCACTATAATTGTAGCAACAGTTGTGTAAAATTCAGTCTTTAGTGAATTCATAACTTTAGGTAGGGAATTGTCAGTTGAATGCACTACAAACGCGATTATTTATATGAATTTGAAAAGTTAACATGCATACAAACACATGAACATAGTAACAATATATGTATGATCGATAAAAATTGCATGATACTTTGTCAATGGAATTAGGACAAAGTAACATCTGTGAAAGTGAGCGTTAACAGTCAGAGTTGCCATGGTGATTAATAAAAAGAAAATATGATACGATGAATGACCTTACACAACGTGTTGTCAGGCCATTCATACAAGTTACGATAATTATGTTGAAATACTGGTTCATTCATAATCCTATGGTTACTGGGATGACTAAGCCGCGCGTCTTACACCGATAGCCAAGATGACTGTAAGGCTTTTATTCACAACAACAGTATGATCATTACCCGGTGAATGAATTATGTTTGATCTTCTGAAAGTGCTATCACGAGTACTTGAAAGTCCTCAAGACGATAATCAGTAACACAAACTGCCAAAATTCTTTCCGTACGCTCAGTGTATTTACTCACACAAAAAAAGTAAATTGATATACATAGTTTAAGGTGGTGAGGATCGATTGTTTGTAACAAATAAAACTTAAAATCCATTAAAGTGTCAGTAGTACAATACACGTATAAGAAGATAACGAAAAATCTAACTACTCACATTTGCCAAGGAATTCCCATTGAAGGATATATCTTTTCTGTCACTTGATTTATCTAAAAGGATTTCAGCGAGTTCATCATTATCGAGAAGTTGATTCCAGCCAGTAATTAAATCGTAAATCAGAACACAACCAAGGGAATGTGCAATTACAGATACTTTTCCACCACGAGATTCAAAGTTTGGATTTAATCGACGAAACATATCGTATAACCGATTGAGTTCGGCTTTTAAGCTGGAAATGATTTCTGCTCGATAAAGAGGACTTGTGTAGTACATAATATCCATGGCAGAACTATTCAAAACTGTACGCAGACTTTGAACATGTACAGGAGTAATTGACTCAACTGTATCACCATCCAACTGCAAAGAAGTTCTCCACTCAACAGGTAAAAATTCTACACGTTGATTTTCTTCATCCAGATGTGAGAAGTACCGCGCCTTTATTTTATCGCATGTTTCCCTAAGTCTTTATACGTCATAAACAAAAAGAAACCAATTAGGCACACATTTGAAAGAAGTCAAATTTTACATAATACTTCTTACTGTACAACAAAAATGCATACTAAAATGACTCTACATAACACAGAAATAATCAAGATATGTGTTTTGACCCAGTAAATGGTTTAATGTCACAAAACCTACATAAGATTTTTCGTTGGTTATGTCTTATTAGGCCACGGGAGGGATAATGGCTGCACGAACTTCTTTTGAATGCATAGTTTAGGTTTAATAGTTCGAATGCCTATCGCCTCAGCTGTGTGCAGTAGACGAATACGAAGTCTATTAGAAAGATTCGGAGGGATACGATGAATTACTTTGAAGGCTTTCGTTTTATCGACTACATGACCACTATCAATTAGATGTGACAGAATTGAGCTACGGATTGTTTTTGTCTGTCCTTTGCCAAACCACGATGGGAGATGTTCACTAACACGTTGGCTCATTTGTTTTTACTAGCCTTTATCGACTAATTCCACCTGAACAATTGTTTGTTTAATCATACTGTTTTTCATTATTCGTGTTATCACAGATTGCCTCATTGTTTCATCCTTATTATTGATAAGACCATTATTATTATCATTATTATTATTACTATTATTAATATTATCATTACCAATATTATGACTAACTGCACAATTTATATTCACCATCGTATTATCCTATAGACAAAACACCGTGATTGGTTTATATAAGGAGATTTCCAAATATTCTCAACCAACGTGGTGTTAGCATGCATAAGAATGAGATGTTAACTCAAAAATTCAGGACCACAACCGTAAGGATTAAAATGTACTGACATAACAGATGGGAAATAGAAGAATGTCACTTATTTGTTAATGAGGACTTGACAAGTAGTGCGACCTTCTTCTTAATGCAAATCAATATTGTTTTTTTTTCAAGTATTTGATAGTTCAGCATAGAACTTGTTATAGGCAGTACACTTAAAGTAAATAACACTATCTGCTTTCCAAGACGGATATCTTTCATTGTTTACAGTATCTTATGACAACAGAATATATTACTGATGTATTTTCATGATAACTCGATCTAATACAAAGACTTGAAAGCAAGTTAATTATTAATCCCATACCCATTTATCAATAGGAAGAAATAGGCTTCAACAGACAGTCTTTTCTATCCCACGAGACGACAAAAAGGAATTGTATCATTGTGAATGTATGACTATCCAAAGAGCAGAAGGCATATATACTCAAAGGATTTTAACAGGTGAAGAAATACCCTTCATAAGTGTGAGGAAAAATAAATGCAAAGCATAGTGCGAAGTACGGACAGAAATCTATAAATAAAGACGTCAGACTATTAACTTAATCTAGCTGATGATCCTAACATTTACGAACTTGAATAACGTACACCTGCGGTAATTTCCTTGAAGATAAGTGTTGAAATACTTTATTATTCTACACACTACAGAACTTTGTTTGTTATTTGTACTGAGCCTACTGTTATAGTAGGAATTGAGCCGCTGATAGAGGGACTACAGGGTAGTTGGTACATCCTCAAACTATTCAACACCAATCAATAAACATAAACACTTGGTCTCATTAATTCTGTTTGTATTACTGAAATTTTACAGAGATGAGCAGTAGTAGGCTCAAGCATTACAACAAAACACACAGATAGAAGAGGTTTCACCAAAAACAAGGAAGTTGCAGATGTAGTTTGTACACCAAAGGAAATAAATTTCCAACTGCCTGATAGATAGACAAGTGAGTAGAGATTCATCGGTAACAAGTTACAGCAGCCTTCCTTACATATTTGACGCTCTTCATCAAAGAAAATTAATTCCTTATTCTCTTTTCCCCACACTTTTTTGCATTGCTTATTCTTGTGGTATTTACTTTAAAAGCTATAATGAATTAGTTTGCTTTAAAAGCACTGTGAACTTAAATACACGACAGAGCTATTGGGTTTAACTGGTATTATTTTATTGACAGAGTGACGGACATTGACATTTGTTTCACAATAAATTCATAGTCCCAATCAAAACTGACACATCAGTGAGAAACGAAAACATTTTTACATGGCAATACAACTCCCAAAATAGATGCTAGTTCTCCCAACAGGCTATAGAGAAAATTTGCATAAAGACCAGAGATAATTCGAAGTTCCCTAAATGTTATCAAAAGTGTGGAAGCTGTAACTGAATAGCTGAAAGGAAAGAGTATTTAAACTACGGAAGCACATAAATGAATTCTTACTACATCTCCAATAAGTAATTATTGAAACGGTGATTCATATGACTTCTTAAAAAAAACTGTCTTTCCGAATTTCAAAGGAATAGTATAAGGTTTTTTTCACCTATTTTATTTAGATCTTTTTGACAAGACGCAGTGTAAGTGCAACAGTTGAACAGCTATAAAAATAAAAAGTAGCTAGTTGAATGCCAGTAATTAACTTATGCTGAAATGATAAAGAATGTTGTGCTACGACTCACTCATTGCAATTTTTTAAAATAGGATTGGTACCCATTTTTTGACCGATCCCATGGACAACGAAACAAAGGTGAGATATATCAGGCAATTTGTCTTCTGCACTTGCTTGTTCAGTAAAGCCCCGAAATAAACGCGTCCCAACTAAAATGCAAAAAAGTTATAGATATAACAATACCTTTTAGAGAGACCATATTCTTCAACAATGCAAAAACAATAAACTAAAATGAATAACAGCAATACGAAGGAAATGAACAGTGAAACAACTGCATGAAATGTAAACGGCTTTAAGAAAATTCTTCCAGGTTAAGAGACCATATATCCGAAACATGTTGACGGTCTTAAGCAGCAGCCCTGTAATTTTCATTGTGTAGCAAGTTGATAGATCAAACTCAGATGAAGGCAAAGAAATCAACGTGGTAGTTCGAAAACAAATGCAAAAGTTCACACTGATACATTCAAAATCAGTACACAGAAATAAGACACCTAGAAACAGTTATAATACACACAAAAATGAATGAGATAGGGAAGAGAATAATTAAGGGAAGATTGGTGATGTTTAAAGTTTCAAAGGAGAAGAGTGAAAATATCTGCACTACTGTGGACAATTTTGGAATAAGTATTCAAGGATCTCCTACCAGTGATTCTAAGTATACCTAAGGGATCCAATAAGGCGACTGACACTTCACTAAAGGGTCATATCAACCGTCAAACAATTCGTCATTACTTGTTAAGAAGCACTATGGTTCAGTATTCGTACCGCACTTTGCAGCCACCTCAGTCAGCAAAGATCCAAAACTTTACCTAACAAACTACGTCTAATCTCGATACTACATTGCTACTAGGGTGGCTCAGGTTCGACTTTCGGCCCGCGCAACCACCCGTTTTTGATGTGATAATCAGGTTTGGTAGAAGTAATAAATAAATGATGAGAACAACTCAACTCATGGAGTCCGCACAAATTTGTGTATTGAGCTATTAGATTAGGTGGGTGATTTCATTGTAGTTTTGTTCTTAGACAATACAAGCTTCGCAAGTAAACCATCCAGCTGACAGGATACAACTACACGAAACTCAATTAGTATCTACCGTATTTCTTGATCTGAAGGTGGCTTTACAATTCTCTGATAGAAAGACCCTTGAGTCGCAAGTTCTCACTGAAAATATATGTCTTTACTCAAGTCTTCCTGAACTTTTCATTATTTTTCTTCAGTTTTCACTATTTCAGCTAAATCCTATTTTTCGTATAAAAAGTAGGTTTTGCGAAGTTTATAGTCTATAGTTTAGTTTATAGTACTGTTTATCATATCTTAAGGTATTATATCTTATTGTAAGACCAACGTAATTAACTCCAAATCCTAGTGATACTCTTCCTGGTAATATGAACATCACCTATTGTGGAAATCTGATAGCATCTAACTGTTGTAAAATACGGGTATAAGATTCACTTACCCTTTTGCATCCCCAGTTTTTGTCTAATATACAAACTTGTCGATTCATAATACAAGTATAACTCGTCTTCCCCATACCAGTCGATATGGCAGTCAGTGAAGCGAATCGTTTGGTAAGCTGAAGTATTTTCAAAAAAAATGAAATAGGACAATCACAATCTTACTATGTACATGAATAAAGTTGACTAAATAACCTCATTAAAAAAATTCCTTCAGTGTTATCAAATTACTAAATGATTAAACATTAACAATTTAAAAGTGATGTGTTTTATTATTTGGAATACTTGAACTACGGTGGTCCCGAAATAAATTTACCCTTTAACGTTTCTCCACGTTGTTTTGTGAAGGGAAAAAAAAGTAGTGATATTAAATCATTTATGCAGGAATACTTCGACAAATAGTCTACAGTTAAATACAATTATCAGGTTTACGAAATAAACAGAAATTAGCCAGAGAAAAATAAATGAAACAATTTGGTATTAATGTGTATGTATGTGTACTAAATTGGAGACACCTATTTTGAAAATTCATCATAGATTGTAATACATTCTCATGAAGTTAGAAACTTCAGTTAAATTTTTGGTTAATAAATCAGGTTTAGGTATCCTGTGCATAAACTAGACCTACGTTAGATGAAGCAAGAAATCTCAAAACTATTATGAAAATAATTCTCTCATATGAAACTTAACATCTAGTCAATAATTAGCATGTTATGCTGTATATAACTCTTTACACACCGACTTTAAAAAATTTTTCTTCGAGTTATATGCACTGATGAAATAACTCAGAGTCTGTAAGCATCTGTGGTGATAAGTGATATTTAAGAAAATACGTTGACTTTGTAAGTGTGCTTCACAGAGTAATTACCTCGAAAGCATCACTACCATTTCTTATTTAATCTACTCCGTAGCCATTCTGTTTGCGACTGAGTACGTAAACCTTATGGACGGTTTCTATGATCAAGCTTGAAATAGTTTAAACTAGTGGCTTTCGAGAAAGTGGAAATTATCAGTGGGTGGTCTTATTTTACATGTAAGCTAATAACTTAACTGGGATTAAATATAAAACTTGGGCACTATGGTAGAGCGAACTCCATTGATGGGATTAAATACTGGGATCACAAAGAATATTTTTGCTAACATCGATGATTGTGGGATATAGCTGACCAACTGTAGTGAGCAAGGAGTTTAAAACTACCTAATAGTCAAAATGATCACTTCATTACTAGATAGATATTCATTCTCCGGACATATTCTATGACTCCATAGTTAACCAGCCTAAAATGTGGAGCTGTAGTTCACTTGTTTTTCAATCAAATTAAATCATTGATCCAGGTCATCCAGAAGACTCTGCACTTAGTCATTTCCATAGTAACATACAAGGTGTAGTACGCATAAACCTGCAAACCGCTGCCAAATTGCATATCTATCACTTTTAATTTTTTCATGAAATGGTACTCCAATTTAACGGGGGACATAACTCAAAATGTTCACTAACTTAAGTAATTTATTTTATAAAATATTGAATAACCTGAATTGGAATTACAGTGCATTAGTATAACAGACTGTAGATAAAAATATAATCTTAGGAATTTGTATTCGTCATTTACAAATGACTTGGCATAAAAACAGTTTTGAGTATTCAGTTCAACTTGTGATTCCCTCATATCATATTGAATGGTACACAAGTAAATTAGACAGGTTAGAACTAGTCCTGTTGTTAACGAAACGATTCATTCGACGATCAAACTATGCATATACGGAATACAAGCTATAGTCATTCTATAAAATAAGAGAGAAATAGTTCATTTTAACATCGATGTTTGTACATCTGGCTTCATCTGTAGAAGCCACACAATTTTGTTCGTTTACCTTTGAACATAAACCATATACGTTTAATGCGGGAGTAGAGCTTAGGCGGCGGTAGAATGCATTTTTATATTACTAGGTTAATTAGATACGCCTCATTAGTAAGGCAGTGCTAATTACCACATTACATTTGGAAAACATTTTGCCGCTCTCAACCACATAAAACGTAACCTCACAACTTCAAGAATAGGATTTTATTATTCAAATTTTCTCTTCCTTTGTGCTAGAGATAGTAAAATCTAGGAGATATAGGCAAAACAAGTCTTGGCTTATTCTTATAGCACGTGTTCTCAACTATTCAAGTAAAAAACCCTTAGTAATCAATCTTTCCTTCCATAACGTTACACGCTGATTTTCAGGACTGTTGCTTTGTCCCAATTTATTACCTCGGATTACAACCAGTTGTATAGGTAATATATTTCCGCTACGTTACATATTCAAAAGAACTACGAGTCGACATCTATCAACATTTCTGTATAGTGATAGTATTGATAACTTCAACCTGTTACGGTTAATTGCCTTTTGTTAAAACAGAAATATTGCACCAGGTCTCATCCACTATCCGATAAAAATTAGAAACATCCAGAAAATAATACTGCTCCACTTAAAGCGAAATAATGCAAACTCAAGTTCTAACAACAACACACTAGTCTTATATATATATATGTATATATATATATTCAAGCTGGTTAAATAAAACGTTCTGAGTTTCCTTCACTTATAACATATTGTTTACTGTACGTTGGCAGCTTTATTAATATCTAATAATCTTTTTTGATTTTCCAGTATCCCTAAAAGCAATCATTCCATATCTTGTTGGCTGATTACGACACATATCTGACCGTCACATCTATGTTATGTTTACTGATGAAGAAAATATTACGAAGGAATACTTTATGAATTTTTACATTTTATCTGCAAAATGTTTTGACTACCTTTGAGTGAACTGTATATTCTTGTCAATTACTGCGAAACAACAGCTATTTTATTGCTCATTTTGTTCGCAGTAGAACTCAAGAGTTCTATTTCATTGTGAAATCCCTGAAGATACTTCCTGGACAAAAATCCAGGTACAGAGTAGGGGAGCCGTCGGATGAAGTAACATCAAGACAAAAAGCTACCGTTTTGTGATATAACATAATTCTAAGTTTAGACTATGGTGCTAAAATCCTCAATGGGATTTATAAAAGGCAGCAAAACTAAGAAAATCGACATTAATGAAAGCAAGAAATATCCAAGAAACAAGTTGTTAGTGCCAGAGTTAGAACTACTGGTAATGCAGCATTCTACAATTTATTTTTATTCGACACAAGAAGTTTATGATACCACAGCCACTAACACGACGACTTGGACAGATCACGTGAGTTACCACTAGGCATTCAACTGAAAGTTTAGCTGATAAAAGGATGACAGAGAATTAGACTTTCACTGTGGGCAACAAACATTTTTTGAGTTCAAACTCTGTTTATTGCTTTCGTTTTTGTTTTCCAGTTTAAGCAGAGTGAACTCTTTAGGAGTGAGAGTTCTTTGAGTAATTGCTTTCCAATTTTACATTAGAATAGAAATCAAATGACGAAACACAGTAAAAGTGATAAGAGTTGCAAAGATTTTCAGTCAAAAAATTGCCGACAGAATGCCTTTGTAAGACTTCAAAACTTACGGACTCTCTTTTTTAAAGCAGTGGGGGCAGACGAATTGTCATCCAAGTCGCTTCCATTTACACTCGGAAAATTTTCACAGAAAGAAGACTCAGGTGTTTGAATGAATGTTTCACTAACTGATTCTATAGTATCCGGAGAGTGTAGAACTGGGGCACTCAATACAGAGTGGAGAAGTGAACCACTGTGAGATTTTGCGAACATGTCATTTTTTGAGCACATGGATTTTCTAGGGCTCTGGTACGTTTTTAAGTACCAAGTGTTGTATTCAGCCTCCAAACGTTCAGCCATTGACTCATCATCTAAAGGTTCAAGAGTACCACTGTAACCTTCACGAAACCAAGTACCACGCAGGATGGATGTGGGACATTTGTCATCTGTAAACAAAATATATAACAATTTAAATACAACCACACTTTAAAGAAACTCAAGAAATAGTGCAGTACTGAATACGATTTCGAAAACCTCTGGGAAGAACAATATACTCCAGGCCTGATGGTATTTTAGCCAACACTTCCTACTGAGGAGGGTTGACACTTAGCTGCATGCCAAATATAGATATCACGGTCGGTGAAGACCCAATACCTCACTGACTGATTCACCTGACTACAAACTACATCTAATCTAGGTAACATTCACCATGCGACTATGAATACAATCAGTAATGGTATCAGGGTATCAGAGATTGTAAAACTGACGCATCAGTCGTAAAGAATGACACTCAACACTTTCGCACTGTACAATCTTTTTTTAAAGAAGTAACCGGATGCAAGATAACTTTTCAAAAGGATGAAGTTTAATAAGTGTTAAACGAACCACTTGTGATGATTTCATCCGTGATAAGTTCATTGGGGGTAACGTGGACTAGGATAACGACGTTCAATGTGGCGAAATATTCTACTTATACTTAATTAATCTGACGTTCTGAGGTATGTCTATAGAAGTGTGTGGGTGGTTTTTACTTCATGCCTGCTGACTAAATGAGTTTCTGCATAGAATTTTTCGCAGTAGTGCAGCAGTTCAACTTGTCACACTCCATATAGAACACAAACGTAGACAAAAGAGAAGGAAAAATAGATTCAGAAGGACTATAATAAACAAAAATGTGAGGAGGAAAGAATAGTAACGTGTAAAAAACACGACAACTTAGTGGGTGTGAGATTACAAAGAGTGGAAGCAGTTGCGCTACTGAGAATCATTTTGAGCCATATCACCAACAATCTCTAGTAACTGGTTCTTCGAATCCCGAGAACCACTGAGAACATCTACATGGTTCAAACCAACTCTCAAACTCTACATGGACTGGTCTCTGGTTTTTGGTTGATCACCCCTAATAATTTCCCAACTTTATCCAATGCCGGCTAATATTGCTTATCGAGGAAGTCGATGGTTTGGCTTGGGCAACATGTGTTCTAGCCATCTCAATCGATTTACTTTCACTACCTCATTAACTGACTTACTCTCCCCACCTGGCACGCTACGCCTACCTCAATATTACCACATTATACCACTCAACATCGGAGTTAGAGTGCAAACATCCGTGGTCAAATGACAACTAGCATTTTCATATATTCCAATTCCAATGGCCGTGTCGCACAGACAAAAAGGAGGGCAGAGCATGCGTCCTTTTTTCTACGCCAAATAAAACATAAGTTGGTAAATGACACAAGACCATTTTGTATCCATGCTGAAATGTGGTCTCCACCACTTAACTCTATCCTTCAGCTAGGAGTCAGTGCAAGCCAATCCTGTGACATCTTGTCAAAGTGCCAGCTAAGTACCATGCTGCTGTCTACAACAGTAATAAAGAACGTGGCCACTTAAATCATGTGAAGAAAAAATATACCGCTACCCACGTATGATGCAACCATAATGATTAGATAGTGTTGCTAATAATGAAGGTGACAAGTATAAGTTTGTGATTTCGGATTTCCAAAGACTGATTCACTAACTTTAAGATCAGAAAAAGTAATTCAAGTCTAGTTAAGTTGAAATTACACCATGATACGATATGAATCAAAAATGTTTACGATTGACCCGTATTAGGAAAGTTAAGATGTTTGGATAAAACACCAGTTTACTTCAACTCAATTCCCCTGCTATTCAAGCTTCTTTCATGTGATGCTGAGGAGTAGGGCAGCCGCTATTCAACCGTCAAAGGCAATAAAAATACCCACGACAGGTTAGAACAATCTCGCTCATATACAGTTCACAGGAAACTGCAATCTGACTACATAATTACTTCACTACCCACGCCTGAGTAAAAGTAACAAATTAAATTACATACGAATATTCGATTGTGACAGTTTAACGAAGTAACTGGCAAAGCTATTTATACGAACAAGTTAATCAACAGTGTTCGTAAAAGTGTGGACTACAACATTAAATAACTTACCGGACCAGTAAACAGGAACACAACGGCGTTCAATTACATTCGCTTCATATAATCCACCCCTAACTGATACTTTAGGTTTTGTACAGTACTGCTTTGGCTCACATGATGTGGGTGTACGTGAAGCCGAATTGTGACAAGATTTACAGGAAGCCTGGTGACTTCGATAGGTAAACTCCAAATTTATGGAATCAGAGCCATTGAATGATACCCATCTCTTGTTGTTTCCCTCACGGTAGAACCACCGCACCTGTGGAATGATTTAATCTTAAATAAAAAACTACCTTCTCAACTTCAAGTTTATGTTTGTGGTCCATGTACACATCTGCAGAATTAGATACTGGCGAAGACTCACATTCGGAGACCTCCATAGATACGTCAGTCATCCTGTAGTATGCGATGTCAGCTAGAAATACTTTCTCTGCAGAAGTTATGATACCTTAGAAATGTATTTCGTAAGGAAATTTGAAGTGATAGTGTAAAATCATTGACAAATCTTAATGCAAAGAAATCAGAGCTTCCAAACTCATGCGATGGAGAACCCACTGATATGTAAGTGTAACATGATATGATGGTTCAATGCGTTCAAGGCACTTTAATTCTACTTCCGGCTTTTTACTCTTGAGATATAATGCAGTGACAAAACTACTCCGCCACTGAAATGCATAACAGCTGTCATAAAAAAGAAGAAACCCCGCGCATGTTTCGAAGTCCAATATAATTAGAGCGAGCTGTAGTAAACAAATTAATGTATTAACACTGACATTTTGATGACGGGAAACTGCTATAAGTTTTCGGAGAACTCAAGTGCAATTTTCACTTTGATTCGCCCATCGTAACTCTTCAGAAGAGTGAGTACATAATGTATTTTTTGTCCAACTGCCTAATATAGGTTCTCTAGAGAAAATGGAAGGCTTTGGAATTGATGGAAACTTAGTCATTCGAGTCAAATAAATTTTTTATGTGATGACTGGAAAGTGTGAATGAACTCTTAACAATCTTCTTAGTGTGTGGTGGAATGCTGCAGTTAAAACTCAAATTTCCAGTACGTAGCTCATGTAAGTAAGTTCACAAACCTTTGCTATTAAAAAACCCATTTGTTTGTTCTTTTTAAATATGCAGATATTTTGATCGTAATATGACGTAAATCATTCTTTTTCTGTGTTAAGTTAAGAGCATGTGTTAGTATAGCTACTGATTGAGTAGGTACCGGAGTTCGGTAAGGCTGATTGCATGTTGTTTCAAAACGTCCGCATTACCCTGCAAACTTGTTTAGAGAATACTCCAGCTCTCCCAGATTCCGATGGTTTCATACACCGATAACCTGGGAATTTCGATAGAGTTCAATGTGTGGCATACATACTCTGCAAACAGCTTCTAATATACAGCTGATTCAGTGTTTAGGAGTGGGAAGTGCCGATATTGCGTTGGGTAATTCCCCGGAATAATTAGTCACAGTATTAATCACTAGACACTGGATGCTGACCTTCGCTGTTTAGGTCGATTCGTATTTCCGATGGCTTAAGGTCAGGCATCCAATCCATTTGACACTCCGTCGTGTTACGTTCGTTCGTACACGATCCCTAGCGGGCTGAGCAATCATCTCGCACTTCGATTTGTTCCCGAAATACATTTCGTAATTTCGCCGATCAGTTCTGTTGTTTTGTTTTGCCTTTGGTCTACGTGGAACGAATAACACAGAAGCTGTTAGCATTGGATTTTGAATTAATATACTTCATACTATCCGTGAACGTCAACACCCTCAGCCTCTAAACTGGTGACACCCCATCGCGAACTTCATCTCTGATAAACATACAGAAAGATCCAGAGAGTCCGTCCCACTTTGTATTTTTCGTGTACCATTTTTAAAGTATATATTCCTCCATGATTGACCATACGCCTTAGGCCATCCATGTTCGACCGTCTAGCAACACTATTAAGCTCGTGCCATTTCGGCCAGACAATGTAGAAGCGTGGTTTCAGACAACCAAGTCTGATTTCAGTGAATGTGGAGTCACTTACCAGCGTTCACAGTTCCTTGCAGTTATCCACGCTCTACTGCAGGAACTAGGTAAGTGCGTAGCTGTGCATGCGTCGAGCCCAGAGGTAAGCAACCCCTTACGAGAGGCCTAAAGCATCCCTCATAATGAGAAACGTTCTGAGGGATGGGCAGCGTCTTAATGAACTATTTCTCATTGTCGAGTAAGGTGATCAGTAGGCTGTGAACAAGCTAGCGAAAATGCAGGAAGTTATTGGATAACGTCAGTTTGATGAGAAGCTCTTCAGAAAGACGTTCTTATCCTAACTGTCACAGTCAGTACAGGCTGTGTTTGTGATACTTCAAGGTGTTATTATAGACGGCTTGGCTACATCTGCTGATAAAATTCTAGAAATAACAGCGGCCAGTCACTGAGATGTGCTCAACTGCTAAACATACTTCGAGCAGGTACACTGTATGGATCGAATTATGCAACTCCTTTCAGCAACTACTTATGTCAATAGCCCCTATATTCCCTCCTATCGTCATCTAAATTCCACTCAACGCAGAAACTCACGTGATCGCACAAAATCTAAGCCCTGTTCACTTAAAAACCCTGAATGGTGTTAGTATCACGATGCCTATGTCCAGGAAGCGAACTGTTGACGAAAACCACGTAATTTCGACAGTGACACGAAGATTATGGGAAACTACCTCGCTGGCACGCGTCAGCGGCAGCTGTTGCCGGCTGAATTAGCTACATTCGCGATGTAGCTAACAAAACCCGGTACTTGGTTGACATGGGTGCCGAAGTCGGCCTCCTACCTGCCACAGAGTAGATCAAAAGAAGGAACCTACCTTCAGCTTTCAGGCTGTGAGCGGAAAACCTGTTGTAGCCTCTGGTATGGAATACGCTTGTCTGAAGTCATGTTTACGCAAACTTACCCAGCAGATTTTCCTCCCTGCTTACGTTACAATACATATCATCGACACATACTTACTCAACCATCATGATTTATTCCTAGATGTCCTCTGACAACGACTGACAGAAGGTACCACTAGGCTGTCTGTCAAAGGTATCGCCTACGTAGGCCACGGCTTGTTTTTGGTTAAGAAGGCGATCTTTGATCCAACGTTTAAGCCGATTGTTGACAAGTAGCCGGAAAATAACTGCCCACCTTACGATCTACGGTGCATGACCAGCTATGTTAGTCATCGTATAACATCTTCCGGAAATGCGTGAAATCAAAAGCACGACGACATGCTATTCGTTAACGTCAACACGCTCAGCCATTAAGCCAATCAACGTTGCAGTCACATAGACATACCCCGCAAAGGAGCATCCCTGTCCTTCAGTTCAGATGCACACTGCCTATAAGATGCCGTCTCATCAATGCATATCAAAGTTTTAGAGCCCTTCCAGCAATAATTAGAGCGTTTTTGTAGTCACTAATGAAAATTTTACCACTGTGAATACGTCTGTAGTGAAACCAAGTAAGTTTGATTCAACGTTTAACCCAAGATGAAAAGTTGAATAACATTTTATCAAAACGATTTGAAAAATGACTAGGCGTGCGAGCCCTCGTTTATTTGATTTATCGTCTGAGGAGAGAGTAGCTGGATCTCTACAACTTGTCATACTCTAGGTAAAAACAAGATGTGATCATCATGTGAAGGATTTGAGAAGTGAGTGTGAACCTGATCTGCTTTCCTTTTTTCTTCCCATAAGGCTGAAAAACTAGGTGAATAAAGAAGGACGGTTCAAAAAGTGAAGTAAGAACGGTATCCTTGTGAAATTCTTATTCCCATACCCAGGCTTCGTTTCAAGAACATTGAATCAACTGTAGTAAGAAGTAAGGCCTCTGTCTGTTGTCGACTTGCAAGAGAAGGAAACAAACAATCATGGCTGCTTAACAAGGAAGTACTGCCACATGTCTAGAAGAGGGAAGGATGTGAAAGTGCCTAACGAACAGTCTTTTGGAGACTGCTGATATCTATCTGAATATATGCGTGACTTGCATATCATTGTTATGACATTCGTCTATCTTCTTTAGGCTTCACTCCGATTATCACGCTGGACTTTCAACTAAACGTAGTTATCATGCTGTTTTCCGCGATTTGTTTTGTTGGGCACAAGGTTGTGAAATCGGGTGACCGTTTGCACCTTCACTATCGCCTCTATCGTGATAAACAGAAATTCGATTCTGTATCATCACAAATGCCCCTGTTGATCCCCAGATATGTGTCAGGGGAGTTTAAGCTACTTAGTATTTACTCTGTACGGCAAAAACCTTTGATCGCTTTAACTGCTCAAATACATTTTGTTCACGAAAGTTTTGTAACCTGCATAGCAGAACTCAGTAACTTGCTTTGTTTGAACCGCCTTAGTGTTCAGACCAAAATACTCGATGTCTGAACGCCACAGTATGCCGTGGACCCTCTATTTCTACTCAGGAATCTGTATCTGTTGGTGACAATGGAGTTTCACTTGCGAATTTACCTAATACGTATACAGGTTTTCGATGGCTTAATGGTGCAAATCAAAGCAGAAAAAGAGGGCATTCAGCGAGGACCGTAAGCTTTCCTTTGTCCCGTCAGTTATACTATCTTTTGTACCCAGCAGTAAAGCAGGAAGTTAAGCGCAGACCCACTGATGTCTAAAATCACTGCACACTCTTCCGATAGCAAATTGTGTGTCTGCTTTCTGTAGCACCAGGATAAACCTGGAGCCAAAATTAATGGGACAAACCCAATTAAATCCGCTGCAACTTTTATATATACATATATGTTCATTTATCAGTAATTCTCTCATGTAACAATGTGTCTGGTGATCTAATGTGAGTCATTTGCAATGAAAGCTACTAACTTGCAACATTCTGTATGATTGAGAAATACACGAAGTTATTCAGGCCACAGCGACGTTTATTGCAATAAAAATCTCAAGGCCTAATATCGAGAAGTAAAGAGGGTGGAGCATGCTGATCTGCAGATGTATACATTTATTCCTATCTGTGTAGAACACACCAATTGCACAAGCACGGATAAGTATTATTTAAATCATATAAATTTGGTTTGTGGTGAATTTACATTGTTTCTGTCATTTTGGTCCTTAATTTATGGGAACAATCTGCTAACTGGTCATTAAGTGGAGAACATTAAGAAACATGGGGATATTGTCTCCACGTTAACAAACACCCAAGTATGTGTTGGATGGAATGCAAATACTTGAGAAGAAATAAAGCTTGAAGCCAGTTCCCCATATAACTTCACCGTGTAGGCATCTGATTTCATTCTTGATTTATAGCCAGATTAGGTATAAACTGAAAATAAGTAATATACTTGCGTAGTTTTCTCAGTATTTTAATCGTAGGTAACATCAGAAGTGAACTGTACTCGATGCACACTAAT